CACACACACACAACACACACACACACACACACACACACACACACACCACACACACACACACACACACACACACACACACACACACACACACACACACACACACACACACACACACATTGTATTGTATGAGAGGTTCCAGGTTGAATTGAGGCGAATATTTGTAATGTTCAGTGGTTGTTGTGTTTAATATTCATGAGAATATTTGTCATTGTTCAAATGATAATAAACAAACATATAAAGCATATTTGTCCACTCATATGTTGATATGAGTATTAAAAACTTGAAAAATATCCCTCTAAGGTACATTTAGAACAGATAAAAAATGTGCGATTAATTTGCGATTAATCGCGATTAACTATGGACAATCATGCGATTAATCGCGATTAAATATTTTAATCGACTGACAGCCCTAATTTTTCATTAGTTTTACCGATAAAACTTGATTTAATAAAATAACATTTCCAAAGAAATAAATCCTTTGAATCTGCCTGTTCAGTCTCTGTTGAATGTGAAGGGTTACATGAAAGAAGCTCGTCTGGCCCTCTCTGTGATTCACAGAGGGCCCGCTATAGTAACTGAACGAGAGAGTAATGTCAAATGACAGTACAATTGACCAATCATATCTTCCCTCTAAATGGGTGGGTTTTATTATCGCGGACTTTATGACAAGTTCCGCCCGCTGTGAAACTTTTCTTGTTTCCATAGCAACAACAACTTCCTGTCAACAGCGTGAACTCGCCTTCAAAATAAAAGCATGCCAAATTACACTTAAGACATACAACTGCAACGAAAGTAACAAACACAATGCAATATCATTTTCAATGTCAAAGAACACAAATTGGGTTCCCAGGTGTTGTTTTGTGTGGTAGAGGGTCGCTGTCATTGATGCGTTTTGCACCCTGGGCCGTTGTTTTGATATTCCGCTGAAGTATACGCTGTGACGTAATAACTATTTTTTTTTCTTTTTTTCGAGGGAAGGGGTGGGGGTCAGAGGGCCTAGGTATAAAGCTCACGGCTCGCCACTGTAATCAAGCAATCTTAAAACCATAAAGTAACCATATGGCTAACCACAAGACTTGCTGTGTGTCATGCTTTGTAAGGCTAAAAAACTGAACTCAGAGCCCCACCCTTCAGAAACAGAGCGGAGGGAGTTTGTGAATACACAAAGCAGTGGACACTGAAACATGCACATACATTGGATAAATAACATAGGCGTTTAGTTTATTTAATAAAAGACCACATGTTCAATGTGAAAAGTGACCATAGATAGATTACTTCAGTTGCAATTTGGTGCTATATATATATTTTTTTTTTATTAGAAAAAAAAAAAAAATAAATAAAAAAAAAAAAATAAAAAAACAAAAAAAAAAAAAAAAAACACCTTGAATTTCAGGCGGGGCGCGGGGCTCCGTTGGCAGGGCCCCGCCAAGACAATGGTAGGGGAAACACTGCAACACTCAAATGAAAATTGCTGACACACAGCAGTGGTTAAGCAGGTTAACCAGAGAAGAAGCATGACATAGTTTCACTATGAGTTGTTAGAAGTTTCAATTATCCAGGCACAGACTTTATCAAATATAGCAGCTTATGTTTTTAGACACACAATAGCTGCTGACTCCATTAGAGGCAGACAGGGATTATTCAATCTGTCTGTGAAGGGCCTCCATCAACACATGATTCATTTGTCAATGTCTCTGTTAACACAAACCAGCTGATAACAGCAACCTGTTAAAAAACTATTTTCATCTGCTCAGCAAAAAGTGACCCAATTTATTTTGTTATAGTTTCAGTTTGTAACAAATGACAGAACAGCTGCTGTTTCTTATTTCCTGTTCACCGAGTCTGGATTACTAAATTAGCAAAACATCCAGCTGGAGTCCCAGAACATGTCATGTGTATAAACTGTAAAACTGTTTAAATCATTCAAATTAAGCTGTATTTGTGAATATGCACCAAATCACAGCCAACATGATCAAAGATTGCTTTATTACCTGAGGTGCAACCATCAACAGAAGTAAAGGAGGGCAAAGGTACAAAAAAATTCCAAAGAAATGTCATACTGTGCATAAATACTCAATTTGAATGACCCCAAAATTGTGTAAATGCCACAAGATTTAAGACAATGGGGGGAACATTTGCAAAAAGTTAACATTTCTAGGGACTATCCAAAGTCATCCATTTGGCCTCTGACCAAATTGGCTTTTTTTAAAGTCTAAATTGTCACTGATAGTCCTACTATCTAATTTACAAAGGTGATACCAAAACAATAACAAAGGAAACTTGAATACTTCCCTTATGAGTCAATATTACTAACAAGTCATGAGCACAGGCTTGACAGTAGACTCAGTAAACAGTATGACGAATGACAGGCAGCAGAAACGTAAACAAACTCCATTAAGATGGCCAACATATTCAATCAAGATATAGGCAATGTCATGCCTCAATAATGATATGGTATATGAGGAAACAGGATGTTTTCTGGTAATACAATGGATAAATAGTCTATAGAAAACCAAATGATGAAGCCTATGCCCTTTAAACTCATGTGTGATTAAGTACTGAGCATTTTCTCATTTTGAGGACCTCAGTGTAAAACATAAAAGCTTAGGCCTGCCCTATATCACGATAGATACATACAAAACAGCCAATTGTATCAATATATATCGTCATATTTCCCAGCCATATCATCAATCATCTTTCACCATCTCATGTCCACATGCAAGCAGATACATTTAACGGCAAATACGTACTGACAAATAACACATCAATCTCAAGAGTTGTGATATGAACAGGGTAAAAATAAGACTATTTTACCTTGGGTGACGTTGCCAGGTTGAATATGGAGATGATTTCATCGTAATCCAGCAAAATCCAGTCGATAAAACAAGTGTTTATCCATGATGGCGGGTGACGCGTTATAATCCAGTGTGTTGTAAACAGTCTCTCCACACAGCAATAAATCATTGGAAGATTGGTAATGACCCTCAGGAGGAAAAAATGTCTTGTGCAACCTTCCAGTACATCCATAATGGAAGAACAGGTGGAATTCCTTGATTTTAAACTGAGCATTTTGTATAGGTCACTCATTTCATTTGTTGGAAGAAAAACCGAGTTGTTGCGGGCTTCATGGTGGCAGTTCCTTCCTACTCCAGCTGTTAGCTTTATTGAGGCTTGTTTCGAGCCCTTTTTTCCCTCCTTTAACCGTCGTTTCTTTAGACAACTTGTAGTGGTGATTTGCTCTGAAGTGTTTGAAATATAGCTTAGTAGCTGACATTTTTTTTTTGTCCCAAATTCTGAATAAACTCCGAATTTTGAAACGGCGCAACGCACATGGCCGCACCGTGTAGCGCAATCAAACTTTCCAGGCGCATTGGTCAAAGGTTAACCCCGCCCACAATGAACTTCCAGACATTGGATTGGCCATAATACAGTTGACATCACTTGAACACTTTTTTCCCCCAACTTTATTCAACAATTATTCCAATGCATCAGAAAAAGGTGCATAAACATCAGTGTTCATTATTATAATTTAAAAAATAGTAAATTATGAACAGAAAACAGAGAAGAATAAAAACAAAACACAAGTGGTCACTCAGTACAGATGTGTGATATTAACAGTTTTAAGATAGTTTTATTAGAGAGGCGCACAAAAGTTCTCATGAAAATATGTTGGGGTAACTTAAGTAGTGTAAATCCCAAAACATTTCCCAATTTTGAACAGAGAATTCTGCATCTGACATGCTGGCGATAAAACCGAGTTTTATTCCACTGATATTCAAGACTTTTCAGAGTATAGGCTATCAATGACTTCTACAGAAAACAAACCACAGTTGTATACAAAAAAACAAACTGAGATAAAAAAAAATACCTTCAGGAAGGCCCTGGTAGCTCCATGTGATGCTAAAGTCATTGAAGTACAATTGCAAGAACAGGTAAAACAACACGCCTCTATCATCATTTTTGTTTGATTAGCTATCCTGTTAAGCCTGATCGCTAACCGTCACTTTATTGACTTTACAAACACATCAGTTACAGATGAGAAAACCATCACATCCCAAGGTTCACTTCTCTTCTGGAAGTTTCCATCATATTACTGTAGATAATCTGCTAATGCCTATATGCAATAGAGCTGTAGATAATTATTTCCAGGACTTCTTATTAATGTTGCATTCAAGAAAGTGAGGAGAAATTAAAATATACAGATCCAAGAAAACTCAAGAGAACTGATTGTTTATTACAATTCTGTTTCCAGGGTTAAGCTTGAACTGCGAGGCTCAAATAGTTGCACCAAATGGGCAAAATCATAAAACCAAATTACTTAAATCTTATACTTAATTAGCAATACCATATTGTAGAAAAAATGTATACAGTATACAAATATTAGCATTGAAATATGTATTTGAATACAACAATTTAGAGTACTCATAATGGACCTATGAAGTGTTCATCACTTTCGTATAGCTGGTAAAGGCAGAGCTCATTTGAATTGTGTGGCTCAACCTATATTAATAATAATACATTGTAGAAGTTACGAGAAAGTAAAGACAAACAGCTTATATATAGTGTTTAACCGCACAGACAATTATGTCTTTAGAGTTCCCTACAATTTCATCTTTATTTAATATTTTGTATTTGCAGAGTAACTAAAACTATCTTCTAAATGAAGTGTAAAGTAAACTATTATCCTTTTACATGTAGTGGAGTAAGTATAAAGTAGCATACAATGGAAGAGCCCTATACCTATAAGTTCAAGTTCTGCAAAATGTTACTTAATTACAGAATGCTTGAGTAAATGTTTACCTTTTTAGTTAAATCCCACCACTGCAGACAATTTGGTTTTGCAGAATGCGTCACACTTGTGTCTGGACCTCTGGACGATTGGATTTCCAGACTTGGTATTTTGCTCCTAGATGTTTGAATGTTTTTAAATAGCTTACAGCGCCCCCTACAGGCAGCCTTTGCAACAGAAAGTGACGTCACCCATTCAGCTGCAGCAGGCAAGTCGAGGCAAACACCGGCTGGATCTCTGGACAGGCGATGCACGACACACACACACACACCGACACACACCGAGACAACCTGCGGGGTGGACATAATCCGGGGGACCTCCACACATCAAGTCCTATTCACCCGACCAGTGCATTATACCTGTGTGTTTTGGAGCCGGTATTTGTCAGAACCACCAAGTGACAGATCCACGGACGGTGTCGCTGCAGGTTTCAGGACAATGACTCTGGAGGATGAGCTGACGAAAGCCGCAGCGACCGGGAACACGGCAACTGTGGAGGATCTGCTGCGGGCAGGAGCGCAGGTTAACGGGGTGAACAGCTTGGGACACACCGCTCTGCAGGTCAGTGCACCGGAGCCGCGGCATCCCCCGATACAAGACAATATTCGCACTTATTCGCAAATATTCATTCATTGAGTTGACCTCGGTGATGTATTTATAGCACCAACTTCTTTAACAAGGCTATTTTACGTTGTTTGTTAATGGCATATTTGACAAAGCAACGCACCTAAAAGTGACGCGCAGTTAATGCGAGAGTCTTAATGATGAAACTTGTTATTTATTGAGGAAATACGCATAGGCTATCAACTATCAAGCTTGTATTTTTAATCAAGCTAAATGAAACGAAACTAGAAGTTAGTGTGGAGCCTTTTAATGGTTGCACGATTTACAATTTTGAATTTCGTAATCTGTTGTTTTTATTGCAGTGCGTAGTTTACGATTAGCTTTGTCTGGATCTTTACGGTTCAGTTTAAAGAATAACAAATTCCCTTCTTAAAAGTGCCTTTACACTCTAAAAACAGCTGGGTTAAAATCTACCAGAATTGGGTATAATATAGGCTATATATATACATAATATATATATATATATATATATATATATATATATATACATATATAATATAGTTCTAAATGAACTAGTTCTTCATAACTCCCTCCCAAACTCCTAAAACAGTAAGCCTCATGTGGGATTTAGGGCCCAGTTTTTAATCTCTGAAGCATGTTACCACAACACATGAGCAGTATTAACATCATAACACCTGACATTGAAAACTAGCATAATAGTAGTATTGTTTTTCTAGCCTTAAGTCTATAAAGCTCTTAACATTCAGACTAAGTGCATTCGTGTTGTAACTTGAGATCCATAGGATATCATTAATTGTAAACATTAAAGAAAAAGGAAATTGTTTTTAGGATAAAAACTAAAAGGCAGCGTCTCAAATCAGCAGATTTTATTTTGCATTTTGTTGTATTGGGCTGTTAAACTATCTGTTTATACATTCATTTCGAGCTCTTAAGGCGAGGTCGTTTTAATTGGGTATGGTGTAATGATTGCCTATATGCACAAAAGCGTGGCAATGCAAATCCTAACCTGGGTTCCTCCAAAATTGAAGCATAAAAGACACAAGTGGAAGTAAAATGCAGGAATAAAAAGCATAACATACAAAAAATATTTATTTATCTTTTAGAATAAATACTGTATTACTGTATCTGTAAAATGTATATATGTGGGGGGGAAAAAATATTGAATGCCCTAATGATATAAATAATTGGTTAAAAAAAATGAAGTGTATTGGCTACCCTCCTGTCGTGTTCGTTTCTTCCCCTTACCTTGGAGTTCCCTGTCAGATTTGACCGGTGTGTTTTAACTTCTCTTATGAACACAAAAAACATGAATTATCACCAAAAATGTTGTAACACCACAATGTCTCAGACTACTGGTTCACATGAATACCTACGGTGAATATACAAAGTATAGACACTGGAAATGTATTCCAAAATGTGTCTCTCTTTGACCGCATAGGTTTTACAAATTTGACTAAACTACTCAAAACCCAATGAAAGGGAAAGGATATTTGAATAATAATCAGTCATTATTCAAATACTGTGGAGGATATCATAAGGCCTTGAGGCAATCAAATGCAGCACGGGACGGTTACATACTTAACATTAGAATAAATGAAACAGTTTCATCCCACAGGCCATAAGACTGTTTAACACCTGAACTTCTGAAAGAACATCCATAACATTCATCTGTTTGCAACATAGCCTATATATATATATATATATATATATATATATATATATATATATATATATATATATATATATATATTCCAATTACTTGTATAGACCATTCTGCACTATTTCTATTATATTATATTTTATTTACTTGCACTATTTGTTTTATTGTGTTGCACTGTTGGAGGAGCCTGTGACCTAAGCATTTCATTGTCATAACTACTGTAGCTATGTATGTACAAATGACAATAAAAGCCTTGAATCTTGAAATGTGGAATAAGAAGATTGCTCTATCTAGTGATATAAACAATGTATTTAAAAAAAAAAAATGGCTGTAATCAATCCAAACTAGAATCTAACTCGTATATTCTTCTGAAGGTGATGATGATGGGCAGCTCCTCGGTGGCTCAGCTGCTGCTGCGGCACGGAGCGGACCCGGCGGTGAGGGACCGGAGCACCGGGAGCTCACCGCTGCACGACGCGGCCCGGACCGGGTTTGTGGACACGGTGCGGCTGCTGGTGAAGAACCGGGCTGACCCGCAGGCCCGGGACAATAAAGACAACCGACCCGTCGACCTGGCCCGGCAGCACGGACACACGGAGGTGGAGGGTTATCTACAGTCTCTACCGGACACCGAGTGACGCTGGACGTTAATGAAGGGATACCGGGGCCTGGAGGGCCTTCTGTCTGAAACATATAGGATGTTTTGCTGTAAAACGTTTTTTTTGTATTTATTTATCGGATGTTTTGTAGGTATTGTATTTTTAACGAAATCTTTGTCAATATGGGGCTGTCATGACAAATCAGTAAAATATGGTTATTGGCCATAATATCTAATAATAGCTACACAAATTGGTTCAGATTTATTCTGCGTTGTATAATAGAAATATTCCGAATATATAACTGTATAAGGTGAACAGTCTTCCTATAATATTCGTTCATGACATTGTATTTTTAAATTAAGATTAGTGTTGATTTTCGTCTAAAACGATATGAGATCATTTGAATATATGTCGACTATTTAACCAAAGCCATTCAAAATGTTTTGCACACCCAACATTAGTGTAACTAAAGCACTATTATGTTTGTTCTGCAGACTCGGAGTGTCACTTCCTGTTTTTACAAATGATATGCAGACCTCGCATTGTATGCACTTTAATAAAATGTAATTTTAAGTGTGTTAATGGTGCAGATTAGAAGCAGCACTAATATGGTAATGTCTCTTGTCTAAAGGATGGATTACAACAACAACAAAAGGTACAAAATAATAAATAACCACAAAAAAGCGATTATTATATTTTTATTATTCAGTTTCAAATTGTTTGAAAGTTCCACATTAGCTAGCTGACTTTCCTTAGATTTTATTCTTCTTAACATAGTTTTAGGAATATTGTCAGAGGGATCATAGCGAAGGCTTTTCCTGACACTGCTTGGTAAATATTAGGCTCATGATTGTTTGTCCTCAGGTGATCTCACAGTTTAACTTGCTAAAAACATCACAGATGGGAGTTCATTAATGTATCTTTAATGGAAAGTTTAAGGCGATTTTTTTAATTCAGACGTGATGATTACCAGAAGATAGTCAACTTAAAGCACCTTGGACTTCTGTAATAACGTCTACAATGATTTCCTAATAAAATATAGTTGCCCACCCAATGGATCGCCGTTACGGTCTAATGCATTTCATACTTGCAGAAAGAACAAGGAACAGGAAAAGGAGGGGTAAACATTAAAAATACACAAACGTGACTAATACCGAAACCCAACAGGAATAATGTCAGGCAGTAAATAAAGTTCATTCAACCTATAGATATTAACTTTAACATCCAGGGCAATCAGCTTGTATCTTTACAATAAATGTTGTTCATTATGTCAAACAGGAGGCTGTAAGGGACCGGAAATTCCAATCTGAACTCTCTCTTCAGGAGGATATTAATGCACAATTACATCGTATTTTAAATTTTCCCATTCATATTGAACTTTTTTAGCCAAGACTAAAAGTATTTCACCCTGTATTCCAATTCATATAGTTTGAACATGTGATTTAAAAAACCTGTTAAACTTAAATGCAAATGGTAAGATGCTCTAAGTGAATAGTTCACTTCTCTGTAGTTTTTATTGACCGGTTTGGTGCTGAATAATGCATTTATTTTGTACAAAGTAAAACAAAAGTTAGTAACTATCTTTAGATACTGTGCCGTGTGATGACATTTAGGAGCAGCCAATGCAGATTAGAGAAGAAAAAATAGGACACGGAAACATTTGTAAACTTTAACAAAAATTGCCAATTTCATTAGATGCTTATTCCTACAGTATAGGTCAAAGTCACTCAGTGTAAAAAATGAAGAGAGTTTTTAAACCCAGTTTATTTATGATAACTGGAAAACAGTTTGCATGTACAGTGCAGATCTTATCTATAAATGTTTTGTCTATATTTATATTGGATGCTGCAGGTTTTTGATTCACAAGCTTCATTTAGAGCAAACACAAATTAAAGTAAACAAACAAAATATTAACAAATTAAAATGTGCCCCTAAAAAAATATATATTCCTAGCATTAGTAACAAGACAAAGTTTTGCTCAAAGTGTATTCAGGGTTTTGAAATATTGGACTGGACTACAATAGGTTCAAAGTAGACTTTAAAATGAGTTGTAACCAAGGCAACAAAGTGCTAAAGTTGCAACGCATTAAAACAATAGCAATAAAGACACCAACGATTTACATGCAAATATATAATTTTGTTAATATTTGTGTATGTTCACGGACCACCAAAAATATAAATCCACAAAGATTGTATATCTAGAATAATCTTTAGAAGACTTAAAATCTTTGTTGATCTTTTGAGATTGTTTTAAATGTTTCTCGTACCTTAACATGATGTAGGACTGACCGCAGAGTGACGACACTGATGCTGATGCTTGTTCCGGAGAAAAAGGGTGGCCTGTGATTGAGTATGAGGTGGGGGGGTTTTACTGGAGATTCATGAGTGTATTTTGATTCAAGGAAAAACAATAAAACTCTAGCTGAAGACAGAGCACATGCAATAATTATGTGAGGCACTTTCTTGTGATTCACTGATGACAAACGGCAGGCAGAGTTGAGTCTGTGGTCGGTGGAGGGGTGGGTGGGGTCCGGGATCCTTTTTCTACTACACTGTTTCCTGCACGCTCAGTGTTTGGGTAACATCACTGAAGACTGTGCCATTGTCTGTAAGAGAAAGAGCAAAACAGCCTTGTTTCCCCATATACATCTCACAGATAAACAGTAACAATCATTACATTTAAATCCTGTGAGATTCAGGTTAGTCTGAGGTAACAACAAAAAGGAAAAACAGCAGACAATTCGATTTTTTTAAAGCTTCATTAAAACAGATGTTTCTATTATCTTTACCGCCAATTAAAAATCAAATCTTTTATCATTAGGGAGCTTTTTAGAAGTGTCGAGTGTGAATAATGCAAATAACAAAAGATCACTAACAATGTGTTGGAACGCTAGCCAATAAAAGCGAGGGAAGGAACTTTTGGATTTTAGCCTTTGCAGACCATGTAAAAGCATAAAAACCTACGTAACACTACAGGAAAGGGAAAACCCCTAAAGCATAATAGGGTCTCTTTAAATGATCCGTTTTAAAAATGTGCACCGGTAATCACACATTTATTATTTTGATTACCGCATAGTTTGAGTTAAGACTGTAATATAGTCGGGTGTATTAACCTTTTATGCTCAATGTTTTTAAACACAGATTTCAATATGAAGTCAAACCAGATGGATTTCATTGTGTTAAACCCTATGAAAAGCTGCAACACAGCACAATGGCAGTGTCTGAGTCATCGCACACTTATGGCCCTACGACCTCTTGATAATGATCACCTTCATGACTGTCTACTGTTTTCAGAGATTCTGCTCTTTCGAAACACAGTGAAAAACGTGGCTGTGTGATAGGCAGTATAAATGAGATGACATTTGGAGATAGTCTGGTCAAATGTCAACAGACCCTATTTCACAACCTCTCTAAAGACATACAAAATGGGAATGAATCATAAAGTTGACAACTTACTTTCAAAGTCTTAATAGTGTGAGCCCAGTCCATCTGACTGATCTGAGGTATGGCAGTGAGCAGGATGCTGCTGGCCTTGTTGGCGTTCTCCTTCATCGTCTTCAGGACGTTGTCGACACAGACCTGTGACAAGGGAGGAAAAACATCCGGCGATAAGAATCACTGACAGACATGCAAAGTCACTTCCTTTAAATGTCAATCACTTTATACTTCCAGATTAAAATGTACTTTGACATTAGCAATTTTGACGGTAAATGGAACCATCGCATTGTAAATAAAATATTAATAGACATGTATGGCAGCAATGCATGATGGAACAAAGACACTGATACAATTACATGTTGTTATCATTTCAAAATATCCAATTTTATTATTAATAATGTTGGGAATCGGCAAATAATGACATTTTAGATGTAAACCCGATTATGAACAACTTTATGGCACTGCCGTAATGCTTTAAATTACGGCAGGACAATGGAGAAGATCAGTATATTGTTTTTCTGGCAGCCAGCTGTGCCCTTTACTCCAATGAAGTATTACATGGGTTTCATTTTGTAATTGATTGTTGAGCCATTTCACCTGACATTTCTAAGACACTGGCAATCATCACATTGTTCACCTGACTAACATTGTGACAAAAAGAGGGAAATGCATTTGAAAATGTTGCAATAAGTCTGCTATTTTTTATCTTCTGTAATGACGTAAGGAAACTGAGGCCTCAAACGCTGAAATACAGAAAGGTCTGCATGAAAAGAAGTGATACGATCAGCATTACTCATCAATACAGTGTACAGTACATTAATTTACAACATCACTTCCGTTTCCTGCTGGTGTTTTCTCCTGCGACCTCGATTAACCCCCCCCTTTGTGTTTATATCACAGACTAGGCTCATGATTTTGTGGTATTTGCAAGAGGAAGACAGTGCAGCTGATGACTCAGAGTGACTCAACCTCCTCTGGCAGGGCTTCCACCGGAGGCTGGAAGGCAAGCAGACTGAGGCCGGGGGGGGGGGAGTCAGGAGGTGGTAGGAGGCTAGGAAGGAGCGAAGAGGGAGGGATGGGGGGGGGCGGAAGGATGTGTGGCGAGCGTTCGGCAACCGGAGGGGGATGAGGTCAGCTGCAGGAACTCGGAAGTGGAGTTGTGAGTTTGGCTGGATCTGTGTCAAATAAACCCAAAACCGCCCACACGCATATCAGCCGCTCTATCAGAGTCTGACAGAGGGGGGGGGGGGGTCAATCAGGAGCCAAAAGAAGCCACATATACTGCAGTCGGCCTACAGAGCACAGATGGTGTCGAGATTCCATCAAACCAATACAATTACCCACCACCTGGTCTGAGAGTCAAATGTTTTTCTTTATGATGTAACATATTAGTGATTTACTAACTTTTAGTCTTCCTACCTACAATTGAACCCTCTTCAAACAGCACCCAATGTTTACAATTTCCGTTTCAAATATCATGGGGAGGTAATGTTGACTTTCATTTTAATAATCAATAACATTTTCCATTTTGTTGGACAATGATTGTATCCAAACAATATTTGACTATTCATATACCTCAGTGCTCTGCAGCGAAACCTGAAGAGGAGCTAATGCACCCGAACGCTGCGTTTCCTGCTACAAGAAGACATGGATCACTGCGTTTACAGTAAATAAGGACCTTTTTGTCACATGCACAACTGAGAAAATCTTCCAGTCGCAGGAAGTAAGGGAAAAAACAAGCGAGTGATTGTATTTCATTAAAGCACCAGTGATTCATATTCAGTAACAAATCACCAAGGCTTAACGGATGGAATAATCAGGCCTGCGAGAGCAACCAAAGCGGTTCATAGTAAGAAGACTGAAAAGAGTTTTGGTTTGGTATAATCTTTCTTTATAGATATGAATGTCCCTTTGTCATCATTTCCACATGTTTCTGTGAGAGAAATGACTATAACAATCACTTTTCTAGCTCACAGTTAACATGGGAGCAATGGATAAAGTTCACCAAAAATTATTTTAATTAACCGTTTGGCATCTGTATGACTAGAATACACACAGATACCTTTACTTGAATAGAAGTATACGATTACATCCTCTTTTTATCGACAAACACATACACAGTACAGCACACAGTCAAATGTAGACTCATTTAAACCCATCCTAGTATAAGGAGAATGTTTTTGCAAATGCATACAACTCTGTTAATTTATTATTATTAATTTTCATGTGTTTTTGTCGTGGTTGTAATTGTCTAGGAGTTGCAACGAACACAAAGGAGTTTCCAAAAAGTATAAACTAACTAAGCTTGTGTCACACTCTGCTAATGCCGACTCAAACAAGGCGTAAACAAGAACACACACCCATTAAAGTAATAAAACACGTCTGCCCTCCTAACTCACCGCCTCCTCATGCTCCTTCCAACAGTCGTAGTCTGTTGCCATGGCGATGCTGGCATAGCACAAGCCCGCCTCCTTGGCCAGGACGACCTCGGGCACCGTGGTCATGTTGATGACGTCGGCGCCCCACTGGCGAAACATCAGGCTCTCGGCCCGCGAGGAGAAGCGCGGCCCCTCGATGCTCAGCATGGTCCCTCCAACGTGGCATTTGACCCCCAGGCTCCGGGCCACCTCCACCAGAACCTGCAGGAAACAGAGAGGTAGTTGTGATGGAAGCTTCTGAAGCAATGGAGACTCAGAGAGACACAGGGAGAGCTGGAACTTTGATGGCAAACACTGATGGTTTATTTGGAGCTTCGGCTCGGAGAATTCACAAGACATGTGCTGAAGATCTCTGCGCATTGGAGCCATAAAGAACACCAGATGTATCTAATGTGGGAACTGTTGAGGTGGTGTGAATAGCTGTTCATCTCATTCTACAACCTGAAGTGTTAGAAGAATACAAACAATACAACTATGCTGTGTTGTGTTGTATCTGTTTTTCCATGTGATGTTTTAGTCTACCGAGATAAGCAGATAAGTATTAGGAAATACGAGGCTGTGCTGCTTTTGTGACTACGTTTCAACAACATTTCATGTCTTTGTCTTTTTAAAAATTATTTTGCAAAAAACCTGCAGAAAACGCAGGTTGGTAGAATCAAAAGTGACAGAACAGAGTTTGCTATGCCTTAAAAAGTCAAACAAAACGAAACAATGAATGAGTCAGTCAGAATGACCTGAATCTTGACCTCTAATCAAAGTTAAAATTGTGCATCCGGAAATTAGGATATGAGCAGGGGTTAAATTGTGCCGGGGCTGTCCGGGGCTCAGCCCCCGCACATAGGACGATGCTCTGATGTCATCACCCTCACACATTTGTTTACAAAAAACTATATACATGTTAAAACGTTTCTCGTTCTTAATATAGACTTTATTTAGGCTCGATATGTGTTGACTTTACTTTAAAATAGCAGATCTCTGTGACTGGATATAGTTTTTCGGCTTAGTGAACGCGTCTCTGCTCCTCCGCTGCAGCACCGCCCGGACTCCTCCGCTGCAGCGGTGCCAAACCACCCGACCCGTCTTGTAACAAGGAGCTCGTTTCCTAAACCATGCTTAATGTATGTGTGTGCATAAAGCGGAGTTATGATCGGTCATAATTAAATAGTTTAGGGTGAGATTTACCCGCATACCTTTGGCCATACAAATGAACTGAGATTTCCACACAAATGTTCTTTAGCAAGTGTGCAGAGCAATGTTGATTTAAAATAGCAATTTGAAGGTTGGATATTTCTAAAAAGAATGTGTGTATATATTAATAATAATACTTTCTATTTCATTGAAATAGAAAGTACTGTTTTCAAATTGTCATTTGGTGGCATCACTGTGTGCATTGGATACAGATAATGGAGCAGGTACTTTAGGGCCTCATATACAGTATAGCCCTTAAGGTCAAATAATGAGATCCACGATCCATTATTTTTGACATGATATGATGCTATATTGATGTAAGGAGAAAACAATTGTAAATATTAAATTTGAAGTTAAAAATGTATTAGAAAGTTAAATATCAGATTTCATGTTAAAATAATAATGGAGAAAAATCTTACAATAGTTGAGGAAGTAACATGTGTGAAACGGGATAAATGTGCAGGTATTGAAGAGCTCACCTCTCTGGTTCGGGTGCAGAAAGGCTCGGCCATGGGGATGTGACTAACTCCTGGAGGGCTGCTCGGCTGCCCGTCATACAGAGTCTGAGCTCTCTTGGTCGTCCTGGAAACAAGAGCAGGAAGTACTGACAGTTAGTATCCTGGCAACACACGGAAGTTCCAGATGCCTTTGTTAGGTTTTGTTAAAAAATAACCAAATCTATGTAAATATTTGATTTGTTTTGTAATTATGAAAATGTATTCTAATGTAAAAGTAAATAATAGAATATGACACTTTTTCAGATTATAACTGTTTTCTGTCAGGTTAGCAATTCACTTTTTAAATTAAAAAATGTAAAGTAGAAAGTTTAACAACAACAAAAACAGACAATAGAAAACATTAAAATCAAAAAGCAAATCTTTTAATTATTAATTAACAGGGTATATGCAGGAAACCTGAAGTCAAATTTAATACCTTTTAAGACCTTTTTTAAGACCCTTTCCATACATTTTAAGACCTCATCGCCACTTTGAGTTTTAACCGGTTACATTGGCGACACACTTTAGCCCACATTTCCTATATACAGTATTGATTGTCCTTCCTCCTTATCTTCCAACCATTTGGACGCAGACTTGCATTTCTCCATAACGATGTTGTTTAACAACCGGCGTAAACGGGCCTTCGCGCGCTATCAAGCAGTGAGCGTGAGATGTCCTGTTTAGATTACGTCAAATCCAACGGGATGCCATAAATAAACTACACAGAATCACACTACACACCTACGCAATGATTACATTCAGGCAGACTGTAGAATACAACCTCTTTGGACAATTTATATACTTATTGAAAAGAAGCTACAAAATGTAATACCTTGGAAAATGCCGTTTAATACTTTTTAATAGCCTTAATTTTCGCAAAATTGATTGATCAACTTTTAATACTTTTTAAGACCCCGCGGACACCCTGATTAAGGAAACAGTGTCAACATGAACACTAATGACATCAAGAACCAAGCAGCTAAGTTATTTGTTTCACAATCATAATCTAAACAGCATTGTATTGCTTCTCATACTTTATCATGTTATTGTGTCTTTGTTCTATATGTTAATTCATGTTTGTCTTTGACGATCCTCCTAAGGAAAGCTTGCCACAGGACTTGTATAACCGGAATAATGATAAACATCCTGAATCCTGAATGTGTGTGTTTGAAAAAGCAGAGCGTTCTGGCGGTAAACTTCAAGTTAGGATGAATTATGTCCCGCATTAGACTATTCAATATTTGATGAACAGTCCCTTCACAGCTATTCAGGAGTATCAACACATCAGCAGCCGCCGCCCCGGCCTCTTTTACAACGCCAACAACGGCCACCACGGCTCTGCTGATTCAGCGAGTATCCTCCTGGCACAGTGCCAAGCCTGCAGCTCTTTCTAGAGCCTGAGTCACTCTGCTCAGCGACATGAGAACATCTGGGGTTGTGTCCCTGTACACGCTCAGCTTTGTTTTGTTCTGAAATGGAATGTACGATTTAGAACAATATAATAATAAAGCAATTCTGATATGACTAAAAAGAAACGGAAAGGCAATGATCATTTTTGAGAGATTATTTACATCATCATGATTTTTTATAAAAGTATTTGTACCAAACAAGGATATTTTTTATAAAATATGTAGACGGCAATACTTCATTCGGGATGAGATTTGTACTTGTTTGGTGACAATCCCCAGCCTGTAACATCATACAGCGTTTCTACAATAGCCACAATACTAAAAACAGAGTAGTGTCCTCATTAGGCTTTAATAAAAAGGTGAGTTTTAAGGAGTGAGTTTTGCGTTCCTGATAAATGATCGAGTCATTTTGCAGCCATAGTTCTGAATACATTGAAAACAATTCTAGGTGGTGCCAAGTCATAGTATAACTGGATATTCCTCTATTTCCACAGGGATTGTCACACCACAATTATTTCAGACATCCAAAATATGAACGTGCCCATCGATGGAAATCTTTTGAGTTGATGCCCAACCCAATCTGTTGCTCATGACTCTGGCATTGGAAGTCATTAGTTAAATAGCCAGCTGCACCGTGGTGATCATCAATAGCAGTAGTGTGTGGGACAAACTCAGCCGAACACACTCAGCCGAACACAATGCCTGTTGATGCTACAGAAATTAAGTTATCCTGGCATTTCATTAGCAATGTCATTTCAGGATCATTGTTGCACGGAATGGCTCCCACAGCCTTTAATTATGAAATATTTAAAGTATTCTTAAAATGCAAAAAGGATATACAATGGATTACTAAGCATCCCATATACACACTGCAACACAGTAACATCATTGGAGTGTATCCTTGCACTCATGTTGAATTAAATGTGTTTTTGTTGACAAGCTACTTCTAAGTTATGTGTTTTAGTTTATTGTTACAACTCGCATACATTCGCTAAATTCTCCAAATTAGATGGTGACATGAAAATGTGTTTGATGTCAAATCAAAACAAGATAAATTAAGTCAAGGGTCAAACTTGCAAAAGCATTTAAGGTCAATGTGAGACAGTGATGTTTGGCATAGAGCTAGCAGCACTAAAAGAGGGTATGGCTAGCAGTAGACACAGAAAACAAATAAGCACTGGAGACAAGTTGATACAAGAAAGGCCTTTACAAACTTGCCGTCACATGCTGCAGGACAAGTCTGAACAAGTCCCAACAAACACAACTTCCTCATTCCTGATAAATGATCTGTGCTTAATGTTGGCAGAGGAGCTATTCACTAATAGACGCAAAGCCACAGGCGGTCGTACGCGAGGGAACACACTGACAACACTGTGGGAAGGCAGTTCAACCTGTCTCCATTCAGCCAGCTGTGTGGCGACTCATTGGTAACAGAAGTCTTCCCACTGACACAGCACCTCTCACCGCACATATTGAGTTATTTCATGGGATTTCTTAAGTCAGCTAACAGAGACTCCCACAGGGTAATACTACACATTAAGTATAGATGTAAATGCCTGGAGGTCAGACCCTGTGGAGATAGTATGCTTTCCCATGTCAATGAAAAAGAAAGACATTCGCAGGAAGAATGAGCGAGGGGTTTTAGTGACCAAAAAACTGAAATATTAAAGCATGTTAATTTTGTTGCAACTCAAGTCTTCGAAAATATAAATAGAGGGAGTTAATACAGTTTAAATAAAGAGGCATTAGTCAACCTGTTTAACAATAACAGCACTGTCAAAGCAAACTATAATTACAGTAATTCCCAAAAGTCAACTTGAAAATAAGTGAAGGAAAGTGTGTAATCATGTGAAGAAGATCTCATACAGTATTATCCACTATAACGTGGTAGTGGCTACAAGCTCAGTGAATTGAATGAATGAGAGCTGAAGGGTGAAGTTTTCAGAGAAAGTGATACACAAAATGAAACATGACACAGACAGGAAGTAGCCGTGACGACAAAAATATCTCTGTAACATGTATTGGTGTCAAATGTTTCCAGAGAACAAAACAGTGACAGCATTTTTTTATTCTCACTGAAGCCCTGATCAAATTAAGACACTTAGAAATCCAACAAAACATCAGGCAAAGGTAATAATCTTTCTCACTGAACATAAAAGTGAACAAATATTAGTTTGAGAAAGATGAAAACCTAAGTCAAGTCCTTCCCTGTTTGTTACTCAGCTATCTGGACAATCCTGTCGCGAGATGTGTGGGAGGATTTGTTGTGCAATACACCACCTGTAGTCATTACAGAATGACATTTAAGTGTAGGTATATTTATTCAAGTTTTATACTTCCAGGCCGCACTATGAGGAGCCCCGAGTTAAAGTAAGGACAAGGGTGGAGGGAAAAAGAACAACCAAAACAACCTTTGAGAGAGCGTATGTGATTTTGAACGCAGCCCTGGTATTCTTCACACACCAAGTAAAAATAGTTATCTGTTTTCTACTTGTTTTTTTTGGTGTTCAGTGTGTGTCACTTAGGGACTTCATGAGATAAAAACAAGGCTAAAGCTGTGTAAGGAACTTTCCAGAACATTTAAAGTGCATGTGGCACCTGTGTCACGGTGGGTCCTTATGGGTTAAATTGAGGTCTTGCAACAACTTCATGTTCTCACTGGGGCTGCACGATTTGGGGAAAATAACGAGATGCGATTGTTTTGACTGATATTGCAATTACAATACAATTCACATTGATATTGATATTTTTTACATCATTGTTCTAATTATCATTGACAAATATATTAAAATGATCATGGTGTGAGGATCAGTTAAAAATGATAAAAGTATGTATTTTATTGCAATAGTCAATTTTGCAGTTTTGGTCAAATGTAGATGAATTGTGCAACAGTGGCTCAGTCTGTAGGGACTTGTTCTTTGAACCGAAGGGTCACATGTTCACGTCCCAATCGGTGCTGCCCACTGCTCCGAGTACTAGGATGGGTTAAATGCAGAGGTCCAATTTCGCTGTGTGTGCTGTACTACGTGCATGTACATGTGTGACAAAATAAAGAGGGTTTCATCCTCCAATTCTTCTTCCTCTTCAACTCTAGTTATCACTTTGTACTGCTTCATATAAGGATTTCACGACTCTATGATGAATGGCTTTCCAACGATTCTAATCAGGAACATATTTCATGTTCTGTCTGATTAACATCAGTAAAAAATAAATAACATAGCTAAACATATCTTTAACATTACTAACACAAAATACGAAAAATACAATTTAAATGCTCTGACATAATACAGTTTTTAATTCTTCCTGAGAGTATGTGGAAAGAATAAATAAATATCTGAACACTAACATGTTGTTGTGTTCAAACCCCAATCACCTGTCGATGAACTGATCGATGAGGACGATGTCTCCGGGCTGGATCTCTTCCCGGAGCGATCCGCAGGCCGTGGTGGCGAGCAGATGAGTGCAGCCCTCCTCTCTCAGAGCCCAGATGTTGGCCTGGTAGTTCACATTGGACGGCATTATGGTGTGTTGTCTACCATGCCTAAAAAATGAGGGGAAAGTAGCATTTAAGATATTCATTGTTTATCCAATTTGGGTGAATATCTGCAGTAAAAAGGGATATCCACTAGATGGAGCTTATAGAGAGCATTTCATAATTCACTTTTTAAAGTAGAGTAAAACATCCTTTCTCACCTTGCAAGGAGCACACACTCCACATTCTTTATCCTCCCCAGTATTAAAGCATCAGAGGGCTGTTCAAGGAAAGAAGAACAATCCAATTAATCAAATAGATTTTAAGGAGATATTTGTCATTTATACTACGATTTTCTTCATTTTTTTATACTGGCTTAACTAATTATATTGTTGTCAAATTGAATCTAACTGCTTCCTGTTTCATTTTTCTTTATATATGTATTATTTTTTGTTCTTTGACGTGACTTTTATTGTATATTTAATTAAATGTATTGTGTTGAATCAGCTATGAAAACACTACTGTAATAAATAATTTACAAACATATGCAAGTAGTCTACATGATGGAAAAACGTTGGACCACAAAACACAACTCACCTTCCCGTAAGGTGTGTCAACGTATCGCTCAGTCCTTCCCTCCAGGATATCAGGATCATCAAGGCCCGAACCACCAATTATCCCAATCTTAACAAAAATAAGAAAGTCGTCAATAAACAACTACATTGTAATTATTAGCCAAACACTTCCTTTTGTGTGCCAATATAGAACACAATAAATATAACTTTTCAAAGTTTGTTTTATGTACAGTGTAGAGAATTGCAGCAAGAGCTAAACACAACAAATATATATAAAAATAAGGTTTTGAAAACAATGTAAGCACAAATTCAAATAAGTCTCAATACAAAGTGAAAAACTGAAATCCAGGATGATAAGATGTGGTTTAGTTTACCTAAGGGAGTAGGCTCTCTGTTTGTATACATAAAGCATGAACAATTACTCAAGTATCTCTTATTTGCATTAAAGTAAAGTACTTGAGTAAAATATTAAGATACACCTTTACTGATCCCCAGTGGAGAAAGTGTAAAAGTTGCTGCAGCACCAAAAGGACAGAAATGAATACAGATAGGTAGAACGAAAATAAACTATAGGGCTTTCGGAGAAAAAGGAAATACCAATGTGACCATTGTGTGATTTATTCAAGCAGTCAACTGGAAACCGTCTCAGTCTCAATGTAGCTAATAAAAACACAACAATTGTTATACATACTAGAAATGTCACATTATATTATATTCTGCCATTAACACACTGGTCCTTTAGTATAACAAAATAAAGTCCAAGAGGCAATGCAACATATAAACACAATATAGTGGTATATGTGGTACACACTTTTGTATGCACGTGTTTCTATCAGTTTTTTGTGAAATGTGTGAAAGCCTTGTTGTTTTGTGCATAGATGTATTTGTTTAATGCAGCTGTCAGGGTGCACTCCTCCTGACCACGTGCCACACAAATACACCTGAGATGGTTCAACGTTAGCACGTATGTTAGCTTGTGTCATTTAGCCATTTCCGTTTAGTTTATGGATTGCATATTACAACTACAATGGGAGTACGATGCTAACATCTCGGTAACGTTATAACGTTCTTCCGCATTCCCACATTTGTAGCGGCAGCACATCATGAAGCCACGTTTAGCTGACGTTAGCTACATTTATTCATTGATTTCCCTGTGCCAGTGTGTTCATAACATACATAGTTATGTTAGCGACACCTAAAACCCGACCTTAAATATACGGTTTTTACCTTTATGGACACTGTAGAAGCCATGACGACAATGTTCTTGCCTGCTAAAGTAAATATATATGAAGAAATTGGGAGGATGAAGACTGTTACAGAATACAAACCGCTACATCCGTCAGAGACCAACGGGACAGTTCGCTTCCTGTTGACCTTCAAAATAAGAGAATGGCGATAAACCGACATTTCAGATGAGATGAATAGCCTTTTTCTTTTGCTTGGGGAAATTTATTTAGAAATATTTCAATTCTGACTTGCTTGCCATTTATTCAGATGTACACTTAGCCTTAAGCAAGCTGTATGTTTCCTTTCATTTGACTATAAAACTCAAAACCACCCATCAGTGAATATGTAAACATTAGCTTATGTTTTCACTTTACCCTTTATCAATTTTTTATTTATCTTTCAAAACAGTTTTCCTCTCAGTTTACATATATATTTATCCTTAGGCTTAAACATGTACTACATTCCTATTAACATTCAGTCTGAAGAACACTACATGTGATTTGTAATAGCTTGATAGACATACACACACGAAGTGCTTTTATGTGAAGAAATGACATTAAAAAAAGGTACACAAAACTCACCGTCTCATTTAACTTCTTCGGGGTTTAGACACAAATTGAATGTATTGTACAAATATAGCCTTGTTTCCCAGTCTAAATTAAATATAAAATGTGTTTTTGCTGTGGTCCTGAGTCCTGGATCCTGAGTCCTGCATCCTGAGTCCTGGATTTCGAGTCGTGGCTGAACCTATCACTGTGGTCCTGCCTGACTCTCCTCATACTACTTACCTGATGGCTCCCACAGGATTGTTGACATCCTCATGGATTCATCTTCTTATTATAGACACATGCATTTCCAAACATTTGGTCTACCTATGTTGTAAATGTATTATCTTTTCAATTTACACACGGCATCTATTGCACATATGTTCGTCCTGGGAGAGGGATCCCTCCTCTGTTGCTCTCCCTGAGGTTTCTCCCATTTTTCCCTTTAAACTGTGGGGTTTCTCTGGAAGTTTTTCCTTGTACGATGTGAGGGTCTAAGGACAGAGGGTGTCGTATTGTCATACTGATATTCTGTACGAACTGTGAAGTCTACTGAGATAAATGTAACATTTGTGATATTGGGCTATATAAATAAACATTGATTGATTGATTGATTGTATTAAATTAGCATCATTTTAAAATGTTATTAGACCAACAAATCAAAAGTTTTGCATCCCACCACTTTACATTGAAGAGGACAACCACCCAAGCACTTAGGATGTTTATGTTGTGGTAGGTAAATAACATTAAAATCATAAAAACAGAAAACCAACAGCAAACACATTTGCTCATTACAATTTATTTTAAATAAAAGTTCAATGCAAAAGAGCCTACAATTCGAACACCATATGCAGATAATAAGAACTGCTCTATTTTCAACAGGTTGAAATAGTTTTCTCTCATGAATATAGCAGACTTGTGAAGAAAAAAAATCACTGTAACCGATGACTTTCCCTGAGAGCACCTTAGAAATTTAAATACATCTGTTAAAGAAAATTAAGTTCCCAATAAGGATTGACACTTAAAAAAGGTTGGCAACTCCAAATAAAACTCCATTCTGCCTTGTACATAGTGGCACTTTGCATGTGAAAATAACATTGTTTTAGTCATTCATGAAAGCCAGTGTCCAACGAAGAAGAAAACACTTGCAATGTAATTTAAAGGGGTACATGTTTTCACCGTATCCTTCAAGGTTTCGTGACCTTTGAAATATTTAGTTTTGATGTATAACACTCTTTCCATATAACTACTCAACAGAGTCCGGAGAGGCGGGGTCAACTGGGTCATCTGTGGTATTGTCGATGGGGTTGTCCTTAGTGCTGCTGTCCTGGGGGATATTATCATTGGCAACCGTATCGCTGTCACTGTCACTGTCAATGGTGATGACAGCGGGCGAGTGCTTCCCTGTGCGTTCACTGCTCCTGTGCCTTTTACTTTTCTTCTTGTGTTTCTTCTTTTTCTTATGGTGACGCTTGCTTCGCTCCTGAGAGTTATCCTCGTTGACGAGCTCCACACTGAGGCTCCTGCTTGTCTTTCCTGTCGACCCGTCTTTGGAATTTTTACGACTCTTCTCTTTGCTCTTTTTCTTTTCTTTCCTTGGCAACGAGGGGGTGTCACCTTCTCCAATCGAGTTGGAAAGTTCGGTTTTGCTTGCTGCGTCTTCCAAATGTCTTGTTTTGTATTTCCTCTTTCCACCTGGCTTGTTGTTGTGCGACTTCTTTTTTGTTGAAGGGGAGCTACTGCTGGAATAAGTCCTGGAAGGAGAATGCCTCCTTTCACGTCTCCGCGAGTCCCTGCTAGGGCTCCTGGAGCAAGAGTGCCGATTTGAGTAAGACCGCTTCTCTGTGTGATGCAGATTATGAGATGATTTATAGCGGTGATCAATGTCTGTCTTTTTATAATTTCTATCAGATTTTGAGTCGTCTCTGCCACTGGGAGAATAACCCTTTTCTCTAGATCTGCTCCTGGTAAAGTGTGTGCGCTCTGCACTTCTTGAGCGCCTCTTTCTCCTGTGCTCGATGTCCTTTGACACGCGACTCTCCCTGGATCTGCTGTCATATCTTCTATCAGTGTCTTTTCTGTCTGACTTGCTGGATGTCTTGTATTTGCTAGATGTCGAAGAGCCACATCTTTCTTTTGAAACCAACTGATGATAGTGGTCCGTTTCAACATTTTCTAACTGTCCAGCCCTGCTTGGATCACTGCTCTGTGAAGGTATAGGACTGAGGCTGGAGAAGCGGATGTGTTGAGGTAGAAGAGGCACTGCTTTAACATCTTCATCAGCAGACTCATCAGAGTCAGAGGAGAGCTGGACCAGCTCAGGAGTCCTTTCTGCTGTTGGCTTGACAACATTAACAATGATACAGTCATCACTGATATCAAATATACACTCCTCAATGGTAACCTCACCCTGAGTCGCCGCTGTTTGGCTGTGAGGACTCATTTGATGTGGGGACGCCCCTAACCCACGTGTGTCCTCCTCTAAACTGCTGTCTGAGTCTGAGTCGAGGACCGAGAGACACTCCGGCCTGCTCTGCTCTGCTGTCGTAGAATAAGACGGCCCCGGCGTCTCATCATCCCACATGGAGTGCCTCAGAGTAGACGTGGAGTCTCCTGGGGGGTCAAACTCCGTCAAGTCTTCCTCATCCTCTGAGATAGCTATTACAGATGAATTGGAGCTGCCGTCTTCATTTGAGGAAGAGGCTGGGCAGTCGTAGGCAGCATGCTGGTCATAGGCCTCCATATTAAAGGGGGACTTTGCAAAGCTCATGAACTCATGGATAAAGTGCTCTGTGCGCGCCTGGAGGAACGGCCTGAGCTCTTCCAGAATAGCTCCATCCTCCATGTCATAACGTGTAATGCGCGACATGATGATGTGTTGCACTATGTTGACCAAAGAGCCGTGGGCCCCATACAGCACAACAAGTTCTCTTTTCAGCCAGGGGATCAGTCTATGCAGGCACGCAGGATTTCTTCTGAAGAATTCAGCTGAGGTTTCTCTGGAGCGACCACCATCGTGAACATTACGAACCCTCACTCCCTGTCGGTACAATTCCCTCCTGAAGTTTACCATTTCCAGCTCTCGGACAGTGTTCACTGCCCTGCCTTCAGTTGCGGCTCTCCTCTTCGCTGCCAACCTCTTCATCATCCGCCGGATGTAACGCTCCTGCTCCTGTTGGGGAGGGTTAGCTGAAGCTTCAAACATTACACCGTTGTCTGGAGGTGGAGAGGTTCTTCCCCGCATCTGCCGATGGACTCCTGTAAGAGTGGTGCGGTATCTAAACCGCACTCCCCCAAAAGACCCAAATGAGCCACTCTCTACCGGTTGAAGGTCATACTTCTTAAAATCTTGCTCTGATTTTATACTGTGATAAATTGAATTAAAAGACTGTTTGCATAAAGGGCACTCGGCTTTGTTTTTGGACCACTCATGGATGCAGCGGAAACAGAATTTGTGAAGGCAGATATCCAGGTAAGAAATGTTGTTAAATATGTCCAAACAAATGGGACACTTGGAGTCCGGAGACACATCTGCAGACATTGCTTCAGAGATTTTCCTTCTGCTCTTCTTCTGGCTCTGCTGCAGGGCAATCTTGATTGCCGACATGATCTGACATGATAAAAAAAGGTACATTATTATCAAATGCAGAATTCTCAGTTACTGAACAATAATGGTAAGACAGCCATAGAGTACCCTATACTGTTCTAATAAGGTGCTGCCGTTAAGTCTTAAATAAGACACATTACCCAGTAAATCCTATTTAACGTTCCTTATTAAGTTAAAGATGATATACCCTAAAAAGAACACAAGAGTTGAGCTAGTTATCTCAGATATACACCTGTCCTGTAATGAGACGATAAAGCAGAAATGAATGACGCACATGGGTGCTTGTGCTTCACTCCATGGATAGTGTAAAATGCTTACTGTGTGACAGTCCGTGATATGTAACTAATGTCGAAGTCCTATTTTTATATCGGATCTATTCGTGCTTTACACATTACAAGAATACTCGTCTGAGGCTCATCTTAATTGACTTTTCACTAAGAAGAACATGTCGTAATAAACCCAAAATTAAATAAGCACTCGTTGTTGTACTTGTTTTGGTTTTCACTTAGCCTAGTTAGCCTAGCAGGTTAGGCTAGCACCGTGCCCGCTCACACAAGTGAGTAATGTTACAGTTAGAAACACGTCGGATTTAAGAGTCAGTATTGTCTCCACAACCCTGATCTTTAAATAAACTATTCTGTCAGGGATATATTGGTGCTGCCACTCAACGAGACTGCGAGATATAGCCTAAGAACTGATGATTAGCAAGCTAGCTGAGTTAGCTAGGACTTTATAGCTAAGTAGCATTAGCTTGATAGGCTAAGATCTGAACGGCTAGTTATGAGCTTCGAAAAAAGTTGTTCAATATTTACTTTTGGCTTCCTCGGACACGTATGTGGTTGACGACTGATTATCCTTCACAGTCTCGTAGTGATCGACTCATTTCTTCATAACTGTCATAAGGGAGCAACTCTTAACCAGACCAGCAGCCGGGCTTCATAACACCATAGCTTACAGTACTTTTTAAAATTCAATAAAATAAGCCACTTCCGCCCTTCAAAATAAAAGCGACACAAATAATCATGTAACTTTGTTCTACTACAGAACTACTTACAATGATCGACATAACTCTTTTGCTATTGTATTTAAATATTTTCTCACATTTCACCAGAAATTATATTAATTTGGAGAATATAACAGAAAAATACATTCCTGTTGGTTGATAACTTGAAATGTACATATTGTTTTAGAACGTTATAATTCACTTAACTTAAGTACCATATTTGCATTTAGAGAACTAAAAACATTAACCACATAAAGCCCACATCCGGCCAACAGTTAACAAAATAAGAGCCAAAGGCCCCGGATGAGACGGGTACTTTACTGTGGTAAATACAGTCAAGAAAGAGAACACGTTAAAGACAGAAATCAGGAAGCAACCGAATCTCCAAGATACATTAGACATTTGATCAGAGAGACTATTATATTATGAAAGACAAACAGAGTTAATTTAATTTATTGTATTTGATGGGATGCTGGTCCCCCTCCAAAACAGTAGGTGGCGGTAATGCACCGTTAACGCTGGTTGCCACCCGCCATTACATCGTAAAAAGAAGAAGAAGACCCGGGGTTTTTGAATCAGGTTTGTGTAAAATTGTCCCGGACCGAAGCAAAACACACACACAAACGAACCAACATACACATACAAACACACAGGTATTTATTTGAGAGTGGAGGCCCGGGATGTCCTCATCATGGACTGGGACCAGCTGGAGCTCCACCCGAGGATCATCTCTGCGGTGCGGAGATGTGCTCTCTCTGTCCGGGCGGTGCTGTGTGTTTCTGCCCCGGACCTGCAGCGGCTCTCCGGTCTGTCCCGCTCCGACACCCAGCAGCTGCTCACCGCCGCTGCCACAGCCTGCCGCCGCCACGCGCCCCTCCCTGCGCTCCTGAGCCGCGGGTTCCAGTCCAGCCTCAGACTCAGCGTGGGCTGCCCCATCCTGGACGAGCTGCTGAGGGGGGGGCTACCCGCGGAGGGGGTCACCGAGCTGTCCGGAGAGAGCGGCGCGGGGAAGACTCAGCTGGCTCTGCAGGTCTGTCTGTCTGTGCAGTACCCCACACAGTACGGAGGTCTGGACGCAGGAGCCGTGTTTATCAGCACCGAGGACTCTTTCCCGGTCCGGCGGCTGCAGCAGCTGATCCGGGGTCAGTCCTGTCTGCGCAGCGACGTCCCTCCCTCGCTCATCAGCAGCCTGAACTTCAGCGACCGGGTCTACATCGAGCACGCCGCAGACCTGGCCTCTCTGCAGGAGTGTGTGTCCCGCCGCGTGCCCCTGCTGCTGGCTCGCGGACTGGTGCGTCTCGTGGTGGTGGACTCGGTCGCTGCGCTGTTCAGGTCGGACTTCCTGGCTTCTGATTGGCTGGAGAGGAACAGACAGCTGCTCACCTTCTCCGCCGCTCTGCACCACCTGAGCCGGGAGTATAGCACCCCTGTACTCTGCATCAACCAGGTGACGGATGTTTTCAGCAGTTCGGACAGTTTGGTCCCATCGTCCAGCACGGGGACCCCCACCGTGGCCCCCGCCCTCGGATTGGCCTGGGCTAATCAGGTGATGGTCCGGCTGATGATGTGGCGTCTCCAGGGAACGGTCTCCCGTGGCGACCAGAGCAGCGCCCCGCGCAGGCTGCAGGTGGTGTTCGCTCCTCACCTGGCCCGCGGGGGCCGGGGGGCCGGCGTGTGGAGGGAGGGGGTCCGGGGCCTCACAGAAACCGCATGAAATTATTCATAAAAATATAAATACAAGATTCCCCCGATACACCTGTACACACACACACCTGTACAAAAAAACACAAGTGTAACAGCCTTGTTTTTATGTTACATATTACTCACCTCTTTGCTGCACGCTTGTAGTCGAACTACAGAAAAGCAGGTTTACAGAGACCTTGAGTAGCTATGCTATGAGAATATTACTAAAGAGACCCAGATGGTGTAGTGAAAGTTAAATGTTTGAGGCTGTGGGAGTCTATAAATTACATAATGTTCTAAGAAATCTCCAAGAGATTAAGAAAGAGCAACTATTACTCAGTAATCCAATACCATCTGTGCAGACATTGGTTAGGTGTTCTCTTTGACAACATTTTTTTTAAACCATGTTTTTTATTTTGCTTTTGTATATAATTGATTCCATATGATATATTCTTTTATGTAATTAAACGTTTCTAAAGTTTTGAATATTTGATTTCTACATGATACCACATACTATACATACAGTACAGTCTTTATATGTATACATATTATTTCTGATGGTTCTCAATTTAGCTAATGGCAGTATAAAACACTATTGGAGTCATTTCAGACCAGAAGAAACATATTTCCCTACATTTTAATGTCAAATACATTTGACAGTTAGCATTGTACATTACACGCTTGTAATCTGGAATTCCAGTGTATCTACAATGGATTACCTTATACTGTACCAGAGTTGGTGTCATTTTATCCTACGAACATTACGGATTACACTACTAAGGTTGAGTTAACATTTGACATTAAGCAATTGTATTCTTTTCTTTAAACAAATGTGATCTGGCAGTAAACTATTTTTTAAAGAAGTACTATTCTCTCACTTGTGGAAGCATTAAAAACTTTCAGGACTGAATTTATTATTTTATTGGCATATACACAGTTTTTACAACAGGAAATTAAAGAAATATTTCAACTTCAGTGATGACCATGGAACTCGGGGAGATCTGGAACAACTTCACCCGTCTCCAGGATGGTGTCACCCTTAACACAAAAACGGACAGAAAACAATTAGCATCATAGCACTGTTTGCATGTAAACAATCAGATCTAACTCTCTCTGGTAAATCAGGCGTGTATGCAGATGTACATCCTAATCACAGACACTATAATTATATTAATTATACAATTACGGTGATTAGAGGAACACAAAAGATACAATTGTATGATTTTAAATTAGTCATACTTACAGGGAACAGCCTGGGTTTCAACTCCACAATACCATATGGCCTTGGCTGCGGGGGACAAAGACATTGTTTTAGTACTCTTCCGACACCTGCATGTATAAGTATGGGTTGTATAGTGGCCATGTTTGTCAATAAAAAAAGACATGGAATAAAGCTAATGAAACAAATTTAAAAGTAGTACTGTTTTATGCAAGTTACCATGTATGCTACCTTAAGAGTAGTGAAACAGTCTACCATCAGTATGGGAAGTTACTTTTGAAATGCAATAGGTTACAGGACACATTTTATAAGCTATTTTAAATCGTTTTTACGTAATGTTGATTACCTGTAAATCAAATGTTTTAACCTGGACAACAAAAGTCCTTGTTTACTAATATCACAAATAAAGCGTATCGACTCACAGCAATGTGGTATTGCACACAGTAGTGAACAAGCCAAGCAGGAATCAACAGTCGTGTGATGCCGAAAATTCCACCTGTGTATGCTTTGTAGGTCTGTAAGGAGATAGAGATGAGAGAAAAGTTATTACGCATAGACGAGACATACAGCATGAACCACAGTGTTGATTTTGTCTGCTCTAAACAGAGGCCTGTACTACGAAGCTGGTTCAACCTAACCTGGATATGTTTGAGTTAGCCGGTTGGCCCAATCCAAAACATACGCGCTCTCGCTAAACTGTACTACGACGCTGGTTATCAAGTGGATCGCTCAAGCCAGCCGTGTCCTATCTAGTTAGGTGCGCGTTCACATGAAAGGGGTGGTATTTGGAGCATTCGACCAATCTCAAACATGGACAAGCGTACTGACAGCGCAGCGTCATACTTCCTGAATGAAAAGTGAACTTTAATATTAGTCAAATATGAAGAAGTTAAACTTTAAACATCCATGACTTAAACACTTTATCCAGGATAAAAGCCACATAGCTGCACCTGCAAGGTGAATACAGCTGGTAAAAGAAAAAGTGTTTGAATGCGTACATTAACGGGTTTATGAAATCACTGCCCCGTCCAAGACACGAGTGGATCTGACTTTAATTACATTTGACTCGAGTGTTTCGTCAACTTAATGTGTTGCTTAAAATAATACTTCTGCATACAGTATGTGACACTGTGAGTGTTGCACGGCCAGATACGGCTCAAGAAGCTGACTCAAATAAGGAAATATATGATACATTATGATATGATATGAATGATAATGGGACACATCGCGACGTCTGCACTCACAGTGCCGCGGACTGTACTTAATGTTACTCTGATCCGGTTACTTATGTTGTGGCAGATATTTAAGTAAGCTTTCTTAACGCTAATGTTATAATAGTCAGATTGCTCTGAAGATGGGAGGGGATATTCTATTAATTTTCACGTTCACACAGTCAGTTGATTTTTGCCGGCCGTCTTTCCTGCAACGGCAGTTTTTCTGTATTTCCTCTATCCTGTAATATGACTTGATAGCTTTAAACTCCGCACACGGAGCTCTGATTGGTCAGCAGGCGGTGCTTTCACTGAGTTGATCTCTTAGCCTGCAACCTAACCTCCTCCCGAGGAGGTTAGCCGCTCAGCATAAGTTACCATGGAGATCTAGCCCGCTAAAAAGAGAACCAGCGTCGTAGGACCGAAAAGCCAGAGTTTTCCCTGAAGTTAGCGGGCTAAGCGAAAATCCGGCTTCGTAGTACAGGCCTCAGGTCACGCCTAAATAGTAAAAATAGTAATATCAAAATATACTGTGTTACAATTAAAATTCCTGGATTTAAAATGTAACTACTTCATGGGCTTACGAAAAAAAGAAAATTCAAAAAGAAATATATTTTATTGTTGTGAATTATGTATTGATACGTGGTAAGAAGGAGCTTATTATTTTTTTTACTAAATATATACCGTGAAGCGTGTCAATGTCCTTGAGGGAACAATAACAATATTTGTTTAATGCCCTATGTGTAGATAAATGTAGTACAAAGAGCACAAGGTATTATTTTCAAAATGATAACAAGCCTGCCTGACTTTTATTTTATTCCTTCCTTACTATTTATATAGTATGAATATAAACAAATATATATTAACCTTTCTTAAAGAAATAATTAGTTTTGGTGAGCTATTTCACCACGTTTAAAAGGTGCTACACTAACTAAATATATTATTATTATGTTAAGAAAGAAGTAAGTTGGGCAGAGGTCGAAGAAGTACTCAGATCTTATAGCCTACTTAAGTAAAAATAGAAGTACCAGAGTGTAGAAATACTATGTTACAAGGAAAAGTGCTGCATTCAAAATGTTACTCAAGTAATAGTACAAAAGTATTGGCATCAAAATACTAAAAGTACCAGAATAAACTCGTTATGCAGATTGGCCCATTTTGAAATAATTGATATTGTTTTGATTATAATTATTGATGCATTAATATGTTTATCATAGCTGGCGAAGGTGAAACTACTTTTGTATTATTCAATTACTTTTAAGTGTTGTTGATCATATTTTATGTTATCATTCATTTATATCTGCAAAGTAACTTAAGGTACTACATGCATCTAGTACAAGTACACTATTTACCTCTGAATTAGTAGTGGAGTAGAAGCATAAAGAAACATAACATACAAATACTCCAGTAAAGTACAAGTCTCTAAAAATTGTACTGACAGTACTTAGTTACCTACCACCACTGTATTTAGCTTAGCACACAACCCGTTAGCAGGTTTACATATAACTGATAACCTTAACATAAGGAGCCGTTGCTAGGCTGTATTTAAGGTTGTTTATCAGCTGTCTTTAACATTATGGCTGTGCATCAGGACTCACGTAAAGCCTCCACAGGCTCTTGGGCTCCAGGAATCCAGCCCAGAACTTAGCGACGGCTCCCAGAGGTTTGGCCTGAATCACGGGCTCTCTCGGGCTGAGCTCCTGGTCCTTCAGCCACAGTTTTCGGAGCTTCCTCAGCTGATCCAACCGCAGCTTCTCGTCCGGTGTGTACCCAGACATTTTGATTTTTTGGATATTCAACCTCAAGAGAACAGCAATGACACCATGGAGGACACACTTCCCCTTCGAAGGCAAATACACCAACGAAGAAGAAGATGGAGCGGAAACGTGTCACGGATTGAAGAGTGAGATGAATTTTAGTGCGACACCTGCTGACCCGGAGAGGAAAGGATACTAGTATACATGAATGTCAACGCTAGCGAGCAATCTGGGACCTTTATAATGAGCAAAACATTCCTCTTATAACATATGATAATATACAATTCAGCCTCTGCTTTTAAATGAGGGTTTTTAAATGCCATTTTATAATATTTTTCTTAATGCTCTTAATGTCTTTCATTTTTGTAAAGCATTTTGAATTGCCAAGGTGTTGGTTGAAAGGTGCTATATAAATAAACTTGCCTTTATGAACATGGTTTATGAATGTACTGCAGTAAGAACGTTCTGGAAACAAGTTATTGACATTGTATCTGAGATTATTGGAGTTCACATACCCTGTCTCCCAAATATTGTATTGTTGAATGATGATTCTTCTCTTGACCTACACTGTAAAATATTACCATGATTTCACAATATTTAGCTGTAATATTTTACAATAAATTACTGTTTTACCACTTTACAGTCTTTCCCTGTAATGTTCACAATAATAATTGTAATACGATGGAAACCCCCACATACTTTATTTATTAAGCAATGATATCATCTTTCCATGACCTACTAATCTCAGAGCTGTCAATCGCTTCTGCTAATAAGGCTAAGGGGGAAACATTAGAGGCTATTAAAAGAGCTGCTGATCTGGTAATATCATTCATGTAAATTATGATTGTACATATATGCACACCTTGGTGCAATTGTAGATTATTAGGAGTCAATCTCAATTCAGTTTAAACAGATGAAATGTTCTGTGGAAAAAAAAGGTATGAATGTATTTTATGTGGATAAATTGTTATGCTATAATATAAATATATATTATATATAAAACAAACATCAGGTAGGATTTTCTGTGAAATGGCAAGATGGGTGGGAAGGGGGAGGGACGGGGTGGCATGGGAAAGGGATTCCCTATATATATATTTTTTTTTCTTTGTCTTTTCTTTTTCTTTTTGTATTATTGTCTATATAATTTGTATCTGTGTATATAAGTCCCTCTGTGAGGGCAAACAACAACAAAAAAACAAAAAAAGTTGGTCACAAAAAAATAAAATAAACTTGCCTTGCCTTGCCTCAATTTGAAAACAAAAGAGCTGAATTTGGATTTGATTATTTTAGCAAAATGTGTCGTACACAAATATCGCTTTTTCAAAAAATCCCAAGTATATAGTAGCTTTTCTTAATGAAATGAAATAAAGTACAAGATACAAACAAAGTATGAAATAGTGCAAAAGTAAAAGGCCCAACAATTGTACACATTTCTAAACATCTTTGTTACTGAATGACCACTTAATAATGAATAATTGTTCAATAAAGTAAAACAACTTTAAGGCGATAAATAATGAATGAACTCAAATGAATGTGAAATCCAAACAGAATAATGTTATGAAGGCACCTGCCCTGTAGAGTGCACCATAGTTAACCTATAATGCACTTTTGGAATGTATTTTTCATATGGGGATATTATTGTAGTATAGTCCTTTTGGACTTTGACTCATATAAAGGGGTTTATTGTAAATTATGTATTGTGTTTTTCCAAGAACCTAAAGGCAGCGCTGTTGATATAAACAGCTAAACAGATGTAACCCACCAACTCATGTCTCGTTTTGTAAATTGGCGAGGGGTCTACTTTAAATTGATGATGTCCCTAAAAAGATAACAAAGCATTAATCTTTGGTTAGAGACTGACGTTGTTAGTTTATATAATAGCTAAAAGTAAAACATGTAAGGAAGTTGCTCATAGAAAACAAACTGTCATTGTAAATGGAGTAAACTGTGTTTGGCACAAAGCACAAGCTGCAGAAGTCAGACAGGATGAGTCAATCCTTTTTGAACAATCTTTATTGATACGAGGATGACAGCACAAAAAAAGTATCACTATATATATCTTTATTTAAATGTGGCCCCACCACCAAAATTCAAAATGGTATTAAACAGGTTACAACAAAACAACTTTATCTTCCAAGTTGATTGAAAAGTCTCTTCACACTAAACCAAAACAACATTAAAATTGAGAAACACATACAATACTGAACATTCATTTAAAAGTCAAACCCTAACCTAAACATATCCATACCTCGAATTAATATAGACAACAAATATGTAAGTATTTAAACCAGGGAACTGAATAGTATGTAACCCAAGTGACTATGTTTCATTGCATCTAAACAAAGTAATCAACAGATTTAAAAAACAAACTTGATTTAAGACAAGCAAGCCAATTATCTATAGTGGAAACCTGTAATAACACCGATTCTGATTCTGATTTAAGGAACCGTGCCATCCGGATATGTGTGCAGCTTTTCTGGCCTGGGCCTGGGCCTGGGCCTTGGCTTGGGTGTCTTGCTGGGCAACTGTGGAGAGGGTTTGTAGCGGTCACACCTGTCTCCAGTCAGGTGGCGGTCGCAGGTCAGACTGTAGACCACCTCAACGCCGCCTCTCTTGGCGTAGCAGGTGAATCTGTGATTGCCTTGGTTCAGGGTCTTCACACATGACCCCAGAAGGTCGTCCCTGCCCCAGTCTTCATCCCAGACCTGAATCTTCAGACCCAAATGTGTGTCCACCTTTGATGAGGAAAACATTTCAAAAAGCAAAGGTTAAAACAAGATCATGTAAAAAACATACCGACCGTTTGTTGACCAAATATGCAAGAAAGGTTCAATTTCTCAATATACTATACAGAACACAAATGTGCAGTTTATTTTTCATCACACTATAGATACAAAATTAAGGGCTTCAGAAAAGTTAAGCAAACAAAATGGCCAAAAGATGACTCAAAAGATACAGCAGCCCCACTTTAACGTTATATAAAGATAAATCTGCTTATATGGTTTTTACTTTGTCTGTTTTTATGACAAAGATAGTTTTACTTCAGTGGTAGTGGAAGTATTCAGATCCTTTAGTTATACTCTGAAGTACATACAGTGAATATACTCCACTATAAAGAAAAGTCCTGCCTTCAACATCATATTTAAGCAAAAAGTATGCGTGTATAATTAGGAAAATGTACTTCAAAAGTCAACTTAGTACTGACATTTCCCAGAGAGTAGCGAGCGTTCCAGCGAGGGTTGTTTGACCCTATTATACGAGTCCTGCGGTAAAAGGAACCGTACCACATTTTAGCGTACCTGTGAAAACATGGAAATATAAGTCAATTACTCTCAGTATTTGTGTCAGTCTAAATTACAATTACTGGGACTTCTCTCTGAATCTTGCTCTCTACTTACGATTCAGTTCTGCCCCACCAATCTCCTTTCAGATTCCAGGCTCGGACGATGGTCACCACCAAGTTTCCCCTCCCGGTCTGTTTGGGACAGCAGTTGGAATCTAGGTTTGGGACGCTGCGGCACGTTGGTGGACTGACTGACTTCTTGATGCCGTTGTCTTTCAAGTAGTCCTCTATGGCGGCCTTCAATCCTGTCCTTCGTGAAGTGTCCGACACCAGCTGGTACAGTGGTCTCAGGGAATACCAAACAACATCAGGGTGATCTTTGAGAGTTTTCAGCCAATTTAGGAAGCCCAGGGAGTTGTTATGGGTGAGAGAAAACTCACCGGTCCAACCCTTGCCTCCTATCACCTCTGTATAGTGTTGGTGGAGACCAGAGCTGAACGAAGCGGAGACGTCCTGGTTCTGCAGCACTTTGCTGCATGACGTAGAACTAGCAGACAGTTTGACTTTCCCCAGGCCTACATTTAGACCCGTTGATAAGCAAGAGTGCACCTAAATAAGGAAGAAAGAATGAAGACTATTATACTATTGACCTCTCAAAAGGAAGGAAGGGGATATCAGATGTTATTTGTAGGACATGGAGTATTTATGAATGTATTTTATTGGGTTTATGTGCTACACACACCTGGTTCGATGACATGCCATTCAAACTGGACAAGCAGGTTCGTGAAGCCGTGACTCGCCTGACACGTCCCCCAAGATTGACCTGAAATGATATGCAGTAGAATATTGCTAAGAATGAAAAACTTATTTGTGGAAAGTAGGAAAAAGAAAAGTGTATGTGTGTGTGTGTGTATGTATGTGTGTGTGTGTGTGTGTGTGTGTGTGTGTGTGTGTGTGTGTGTGTGTGTGTGTGTGTGTGTGTGTGTGTGTGTGTGTGTGTGTGTGTGTGTGTGTGTGTGTGTGTGTGTGTGTGTGTGTGTGTGTGTGTGTGTGTGTGTGTGTGTGTGTGTGTGTGTGTGTGTGTGTGTGTGTGTGTTCTTACCAGGCGGATATAATGCGTGCCGTAGATGCTTATGAGATGTCTGTACTGGGTCTTTGTGGAGGGGCTGTATGAACTTGGCAAATTCGCTAAATCCTTGCTAAACTCAGTGCTGAGGGGCGGATTGCTCGTCAAGCGGTAACTAAACACAAAAAGAAGACTGAGTTAATAAACGTTGGATGCAAAACTAAATGAAAAATATTCTGTGTTGACGCCCTATACCTGTAATGGCGACAGGAGGCCCGGTGGGTGCTGAAGGCGGAGCGGTCCTCTCGGATCCGGGCTGTAGCAAAGCTGTACGCGCTGGATTGTGTTCCCCCCACCTCCAGACTGGAGTCCCTAAAAGTTAGTCCATCCTGATTTAACAAACATGATTTAAAATTAGTATTACGATATGTAGGCCCGCATTTCTTTCAACAAAATCTGTGACAATGTCCTACAGTACCTTCCAGTCTGAACTGTCCTGGGAGGTGAAAGTGCTGAGCAGGGAGCTATGGATGCATAAAATATGTTGAGTTCACTTATTGAAAATAAATAGCCAACAAAATAAAATTGGTGGATGTTAGGAGGTATTGACTAAACTTTGAAATATGAAACAGGTTACAACTTGGGCTTTCAACATTAAGATCTGCTTGAATGTGTACTTCTGTAAATTGTAATACTTTTTATTGTAAATACTATGTGCATGTCTCTTTATATAATAGTGTCCTATTTTCTATATAGACTTTGCTGTAACAATGTACATTTCCGCTTTGTAGGACGAATAAAGGAATTCTGATTCTGATTAAGGCGTTAGCACTCGCAAACAATCTGGAAACCTTAATGCATAAAAAAAAGAATCACAACGTAAATTAACCAGATCCAAAGTTGTTTGCCATAAGTAGACCATACAATACCATTGTATTTTATATGTTTGTGTAATGTGTTATGTGTAACGTTGCTGCCTTCTTGGCCAGGTCAGCATTGAAAATGAGATTTTATCTCAATGCTTTTATCTGGTTAAATAAAGGTTAAATAAAATAAAAAAAGAAAGCACATTTTTGAGTTGATTTAACCGATCATTCTTGATTAACTCGGATTATTTTGCAGATCAAGTAAGCACCAATTAAAAGTTTAAATATAACTCAACTCATTTCGGTGGCATATTTAAAATCATCTTAAAAGAATAAACACAATCAGTTGCCTTACTTTTTTGGAGTCCTGGTAACTTTTTGGGGTTTACAGTGTGATTAATCACAGACTATTAATGGGGCGAAGCCTGCGAGCTAGTTCAGGCAGTCAACTCGAGCACCAATCAGACATTAACACGTGACGCACCTCGTCCCTCTTACAACCAACTAAACAAATTCTCCTAAACCTGCCGCTCTATTTAAGCTGCCAGGTCTTCCTGCCTCTGCCTCGCTATGCTGCTGCTGCTGTGTTCACTTGCTATTGCTGCGTTCATGTTCCTGCTGCTGTGTTTCATGTTGCTGCTGCTTGCCTGCCCCACCACCACCCCAGCTTCCACCTGTAGGCTCGGGGGATAGTTATCTAATCATCACTCAATGTTCTTTGTAAATCTGTGGAGTGATGAGGCCCGAGCCTAGACGCCAAACTCAAACGATATGCTGCTTATAATAAACATATTAAGAACACGTGAGTTGTCTGACTGAACTGTGATTAACGCAGTAAAAAATGTTTTCCTTCTAGATTGACATACATATCATTTAAATATATTATAATAATATCACTTTGTGTCACAGAATACCTGACAGAGTTGTGTACACTGCTGAAGAGAAACGTTTTGCAGCGGCTGAACGCTCGCCAGTCCACTGCAGAGACCGGCAGCTGTGAGGTGAAAACAAGTAAACATGTCAACAATATATCACCGTTTTTGCAGTATGTGTAAGTGTGCTTTTGTGCTGATGTTTCTTTAAATTACTTTCTGCAGTATGTTGCCTTGATTGGGGTTTCTGCAGAGTTTACAGGTGCCAGCGGGGGTCATGTAGGTCTTCACGTCCACCACGTAGGCTCCTTTTCGCCTCAGGGTCACCACATCGAAGCCCTCCCCCACCAGGTTATGTCCCGGGACGAAGGGGGCCGCCTGACACTGGCTCTTAGTCCCAGTCTGACAGGAGAGAACAGAGGACGACAGAAAGAGCAGGACACTCAGGTGGAGGAGGGGTGGGGTTGGAAAGGAGAGCATGGCTGGAGTCCAAAGAGACACTGAAAAAATTCAGAGACAAAGAGAGAAGAAAAGAAAATCTGTGAGACTTATTTCTGAAAGTATCAATGAAGCTGACAAGAAGTGCAATGCAGGAAAACATTTGTGATCATTTCTGTTTGAACATCTTCATTCATTCAAACAGAAATTGTTTTGTAGAAAACTTTAATTAAATATGTTTTATTTCAAGTTGACAGAGGAGTGCATATATTTAGTATTTTAAATCATCCTATCATGATGATGGTTTCTTAATAACAGAAAACATTAAGATGATGAAGTTAAAGCACTTTACAGTTTCTACTTAACTTGCGGTTTACCCTTTTTCCACGATGCTCTGGAGATGTGTCTATCCCTCAATTTATTTGAACAATTCTGTTAATTTTGTACAGGTTTTATTCCTAATACAAGTTCAAAAAGTTAGTGTTATGATGTGGTTAGCAGAAGTCAAACCTATGCAGATGCCAATGCAGGTGCAGTATTGTATTTAAGCTGAAATGTAAAAACATTAACTTAAAGTGGACCTATCATGCTATATTTGAAAAATATATTGTAGGGCCATACCTATATTAAATATGTCTGTGAAGTTTTTTTTTCAAAATACTAAACAGATCACCCATTGTAGCCATGCCTCATACTGCTCAAACCCCTCTTTTGAAGCCCTGTTAGAGAAATGCAGATTTTGGGTCCTTAGCTTGAAAAAAATAAATAAGAGGAGGCGGAGCTAATGCCTGATCAGAATTCTACCGGAGATAAAGTTAAATTCGGTTGTGATATTTCGCCATCCTGTTTAAACCACGTCAAGGATTATTTCTGAAATAGTATGGAGCTCAAATGCTTTTTCTTTTGCAGGTTTATCACAAGGTGAGTTCTTTTTTTATTTCCTGCTTTTTAAACACATGTGCTCTTTAATACAGGTTAGCTCTGAGTGTTAGCGAGGCTTGCTAATGTAAACAAAGATGTCCAAAACACGTCAGGCATTGTTTCTGATAGCAACTTTCTGTGGGTCCGCCGCCGATTCGACGTCAGATCGGATGGAATCTGTATCCGCTCGTTGTACACCCGTTTTTAAAAGATTTGGGTACGGAGGAAAAGAGAGAGGGTTTTATTTTCTGACGCTGCGTGAGTTCCCCGACGCACCGGGGACACATATTTATGTATAAAAGACATCACAAAGTGCATTTTGCATGATAGGTCCCCTTTAATTTGTAATTAAGTCAATACAAATGTAGGCATCAGTAACTCAACGTATAACAAAAAAAAGAGGCAATAGTGACATATTTCACATGCATTTTTCAGCTAGACTAAAAGAAACTACCAAACATTTTTCAGTTCAAACAATTACAGTTGTATTTATTATTTAATAATAACATGATGTTGTGCACCGACAGAAATGTTAAGAGAGTTTCATTTTCATGTTGTTTTATGTTTGTTTTCGCACTCATCATTTACCTGTCATTCCAGGCTTCCTGATTATCCACCTCTTGTGTGGGTGTTTCTCAATCGCGAGTAAAGCTGCTTCAGAGCCACTATTTCAAGCATACTACGTCATCGAGTGCCGCCGAAGTACTGTTCCAATCTCCAGCATACTTGGAAATCTACCGAGCCCGGCGTACTCTGTTTGGAGAAATATCGAGGCTGCACATGAGTAGACTCCGCGGTCTTAAAATCCCCACAATGCTTTTCGCACGGACCAATTTCCCCAAATCTGTGGCGGAAGATGTAAGGCGGGGCCTCTCATATGACGCACACCTGCACACTTGCTAGCCTGTTCCACTCTGTGTTTTCCGAATGCCAGGAAGTATTCTTGCCTCGCTTCAGAAGCGAGATGCTCGGCAGACATGTGCTACCAAGCAAGTGTACTCGCGATTGAGAAACACCCTTTGTTTTCCAAATGTCAGTCGCTTCTGAAGCGAGTCAAGAATACTTCCTGCCATTCGGAAAACAAAGAGTGGAACAGGCTAGCAAGTGTGCAGGTGTGCGTCATATGAGAGGCCCCGCCTTACATCTTCCGCCACAGATTTGGGGAAATTGGTCCGTGCGCAAAGCATTGTGGGGATTTTAAGGCCGCGAAGTCTACTCATGTGCACACTCGATATTTCTCCAAACGGAGTACGCCGGGCTCGATAGATTTCCAAGTATACTGGAGATTGGAACAGTACTTCGGCGGCACTCTATGACGTAGTATGCTTGAAATAGTGGCTCGGAAGCAGCTTTACTCGCGATTGAGAAACACCCCCTCTGTGTCTCCCGTGCTCATCAGCGCCAGCCCCGCCCCTGATTGTTCCCACCTGTGTCTTGTTATCCTGTGTTTAAATTCCCCTGTCTCCCATGTGTTCTTTGTCAGTTCGTCTTGTCTCTTGCTTAGGTCAGATCTATGCTCTCCTTGACACCATGATATTTTTGTTCCTCACTACGTGAGCGATTTTCTTTTGTTCACTTTTCGTCATCTCATCTAGAGATTAGAAAGTGTTTATTTTTGTTCATCTACTTGAAAATAAAGTATCTTACAAATACTTTACCTCTGTCTCCTGGGTCGTGCAATTGGGTCCTATACCTTGAGTATCTGAGTTCTTAACACATGAATAAAGAAATCAAAATTATCAAAAAGCTGTGAGGTAGCTGAAATATCAGACATAAATCTCAAAATGTTGACAAACTTTCATCCAAAGCAAACTTACTTTTGTTAGAAAGACTTTTTAAATGTTAAATGTAAAGGTGGTATGCATTATTAAATGAAAACCAGATTACCTGTTGGATCTTCAGCAGGGTTTCTGAAATACTTCTGCAGCAGAAGATGGAGAGGAGGAGAGGGTGTCAGCCGGGGGGGACACTGTGGAGTCTGCAGGTCGCGGCACTTTTATACAGAAGGTTACGTGAGGAATTCTGGAGACGAAAAACAGGACCAACCTCTTTGGGTGGATGGGGCTAAAAAAACAAAACACACACACACACACACACACACACACACACACACACACACACACACACACACACACACACACACACACACACACACACACACACACACACACACACACATACCACTCAATGTAACTTCCTGGTGTTCTTGTGTCACATGGTTTAGAAGAAGTCCCATCATGAAAGAACAGTGTGTCCATAGGATTAAGGGTGTGTATTTTTAAAGGGTGTTTAAGTTGTCAAATGAAGTATTTCTGGCATCACAGCAGCCCATCAACAAGGACAAATATTTAAGACAAGGAACAAGGAAACAGATATTTACCATAACATTACGATCACTGAAGAGAGACGTGCCTGATGGTCCCATGTCATGCTTTTCTGATTATTACCCGTCCCCTTGTGTGTTATGTAGCTTTTTCTGCATGTAAACGGTCTGCAAAGTCAAAAACCCTCAAAGTACACCCTGTAGCGAGTAAAACTCTAACACAGAAAAGACTCTGTCTATGCTGCCCCAGAACGCCTCGTTGGGTTTTTTATTTTTCTTCCGGGAACCAAGTGACGACGTAACGACGACACAATGGACCAATTGGTCCAAATGGACCAATCCGTGGAGCTCCTCACACACACACAATCACTCAGCCATATCTTTTCTCAGCCGCGATACTCCGCGGAGTTTCGCCGGCACACTCAACCTTATCTTTTCTCAGCCGCAGCTGCGTGGATCTCCACTCACAGTTCGCCACACACTAACGTGTGTGTGCTCAGGCTGAGTTCAGGCTGAGTTTCACCGTGTCTCGCTGTCTCGCAGCAACCAGGAAACGACACCAGTAATCCAGCTCACACTGTCGGCTCCTCGAGTCTCAAAGGGCGGAGCAACGAGCCCTGCAACGTCCCGCCAACACGGCACCCAGACCCCACGCAGCATTCTCATCTGTTTGTCATTACTGGTGTCATTTTCTGGTTGCTAACAAACGCCGTTGTAACACATAATCACTGATGTTCCGCTGTAACGGTGATAGACCATAGTGGTAGACTCATCAGAACAGAGTGGGCGAGCTGACCAATCAGAGCACAGTGGGCTCATAGGGAGGGGGGGGGGGCAGGAGCTCCAACAAGGCGTTTAGGACAGAGAGTGAATACACATCCTATACAGAGATGCTGTATGAGAAACCAATGTGATTTTGGAACATTGAACAATGTAAATCTATTCTAGTAGACCTCAACAATGGAATTATGATCAGTAGAAATGGCCATGTCATGGGACCTTTAAGACTCTTTAACACAAATTTGACCTGGGATTTCACTCTGTATTTAATTTAAGGATTGACTGATGCACAAAAGAGTGCTTCAGTCTAACTTTTTTAAGTTGTGGGACCCTGTATCTCAGAGTTTCAATGTTGACAATTCATGCTTGAGGTCATGCTTGGGGTCAGAGATGAAGTTGAAGCGTAAGTTCAGTCAGGAAGACTGGCTATACATTCATTCCCTCCCCAGCAGCCAATCATCGTGCTGCAGTCAAACTTTAAAATTGTTCTCCTCTCTCCTGCAGTCAGCTGTGATTTTCAGGTCTTTTTCTCAAAGGGTTAACCTACAACTTGGTGGAGCAGTTTTGACTTTAAAGGGGTTAACAAACAACTGCATTTCAGTCCATCTTCTATTTTGTAATTTTGCAATCAAATACATTTTGTCCCATGGTAGCCAACGTTTGAATCTGTGATTTTGAGGGAAATGCACAAACATCAAACCTTCAGAAGAGGTGTGGGACGTCAGTTCAGTCAAGGTGATAAGCATAATAAGCGAGGACTACGTGGACAACATTTGGGTCTATAAATAAACCCCAATGTACATTCCAGGTGTTCCAGCGTGTCACATGACTTACAAGAAATCCCATCATAAAAGAACAATGTTTGTTTGGCAGGGTGAACATGGGTGTGAATTTTAATGAATGTTTCTAAAAAAACAAAACACATGCCAGAAAACTATGTTGAATGGGAAAGTGAAAATGTAAAAAGATGTATCAAACTAAAATGTAATCCTCCTTAATGGTAGGAATATCCTTCACAAATATTTTGTGACCAATTGTTGTTTTGGAACAAAAAATGTATTTAAAATGAATTTTAAATTAATACAATGTTCAGAATGAATCAAACAAACCTGCAGGCTTGAGGTGTTAACAGATCTTATTTACTTTCTTCTATATGTTGTTTAAATGCTGTTGTCTAAATGCTTTGTTTAATAGTTTGAATGACCCAAATCCATTGCATTGTACAAAAGACAAAAACACAGCTGTTTTCATTCGTTTCAGTCCACCTTTCATTTAATATGAAATATTTTGAAAACAATTCAGCATTTCTTTGTTGAAAAGTCAGACATGTTGATTCCTAATCCAAACCAGATATTAGTATTACTAGTCTGGAAAGTAAGACACAGCTCTTTTTATTAGAATGATGCACTTCTTCTATTTTATACAAATATTATTATTACCAGCTTTTTTTCTTTTAGTCTCCATTTCAATTTCGACACAATGACATTCATTTTGACTTGAGAAATAGATGACTAAATGTGATTTCAGTTTGAATTTAAAAGGTAAACAAGCAGAATTTCTGAATAGTGAAGCCCCATACTTCCTTCCTCACTTTGGAGAGGGTTTGTAGCGGTTGCACCTTTCTCCGGTCAGGTGAGGGTGTACTGGAACTCGAAGCGGCCTTCATTGGCCGGACAGGAGTACCTGTTTGTCCCCTGTCTCAGGTACACCACACATGATCCCAGACGGTCGTCAAAGTTTACATCCTCGTCCCAGACCTCGACCAGCAAACCCAAATGTGTGTCCACCTTCGCAAAAAAAAGGAAAGAATATATCGGTTATTGAACTAACATTTCAGTTCCATGACCAAAAAAGTGATGCTATTATCAAGGATTATGCTGGCTGCACCAAGCTTATTGTATGGGCTAGAATAAACTAAAGCTAACTCAGCAGAAAAGACCCGATGTAATCACTCTGATACCCCCACAAATATAAAAAAAAGAAAAGAAAAAGGAGCAATGAAGAATAAGAAGATGAACCTTTATTAATGCTACAGTGGGCCAATGTTGTTTACAGTAAACATACTCTGTAACTAGAATCATTAATAATTAACTTCTTGATTATAATTAGTGATGCATTGTTATGTCCCAAGTTTAATTGTGGGTTTTCTTCTGAAGTTTTTCCTTGTACGATGTGAGGGTCTAAGGACAGAGGGTGTCGTATTGTCAAACTGATATTCTGTACAAACTGTGAAGTCCACTGAGATAAATGTAACATTTGTGATATTGGGCTATATAAATAAACATTGATTGATTGATTGATAATGTTGCAACTAGTAAAGGATTAGCTAATTTCTTTATATGCTGCTGGGTAGTTCATCTATTATCAATAAGTTTAAAAGTTATAAATAATAGTAATTAGTTGTGTATGTATAAAACCGATCCAGACGTTGCAGATGCTAACAGCTACAACAACTCACTAACAGATCAAACCTTGGTGTAGGAGCCAAAATGCTTGTTTTGCCATTGCTTATTATTTCTATTATTATCCTAATCTCAGTTTACACAACGTTTTATTCTTATTGGTTATCACTTCCGGGAATCATCACATGGGTGTCGTTTATTGGTATTTAGTCACCTGTGGGATGCCGGTTTCGTGTATAACGAAGAGGAGAGTTTTGAATTGCTCCGACACTTTCTGTTGACCGTGTAGTCCGGACTTGGATATTGTTTGTTGTGTCTTTATTAACCCTTCTATTGTCTTTGTTCACCCCCCCTTACTTTGGTGTTCACGGTCAAATTTGACCGGTCCTGTTTTAACTGCTATTACATTAACACAAAAAACATTAATCATCACCAAATTTCCTTTAACACCCTTTCAAACTGTAAATATTGTATCAGACTACTGGTATACATGAAAAACTGCTGTAAATATACAAAGAATAGACACTGAACATGTATTGCGTGTGCCAGGTGTGATCCATGTGGGGGGATGGGCACATAAGAGCGGGAAATGTGTCAAATTGTTCTGTGTGTGTGTGTGTGTGTGTGTGTGTGTGTGTGTGTGTGTGTGTGTGTGTGTGTGTGTGTGTGTGTGGGTGTGTGTGGGTGTGGGTGTGTGTGTGTGTGTTTTATCTGATCCGGATGGTTACTAATTCCTTTTCTTTATGGCGGTCATTTTTGACCGGGAACACCATGGGTGTTACAAAGTTGACTAAATCATCCAAAATGCAATGAAAGTGGTGATCAGCAATTTTACATGTTCAAATGTCTACTGTGACGGATATCATAAAGCCTTAATGCAATCGAATCTAAAACAAAAAAGTTATGATTGATGAAAGTAGTAAATCGGTCAGATTTGACCCGAAGACAACAGGAGGGTTAAACACCATGAACTTTAACTACAGTACGGACTCTCGTATCGAACACGTCACAACGAAGAGCAAGTTTTAGCCTCTCACCTTGGTATTGTACAAACTCTTCAATAAACATCAAACTAAACTGCATCCAACGACTGGATAATCACCTGTTTTTGTCTGTGTAAAGATCCCTCTCACCTCTCACCTGTGTAACAATGCCAACCGGAAAATATAGGACATTGGAACACCTGACATTTATATTTGGTATTAATAACCAAAATCTGCAAGTAGCTATAGGAACATCTGCTGTAAAATAATCGCCAAAATGTAATGGAAGAAGAAATATTTGTGTATTTGTACAGTACTTAGGAGAAGAAACATAGAGTCTTTATCGTAAATGTAGTTCGATACATTTCACCGCTGGTAATGAGCAGATTTACCGACCTCGCCCAGGTTATAATAAGAGTTCCACCGGGGGTTGTTTGACCGGATCATGTGAGTCCTGGCGTGGAAGGATCCATACATTATCTTAGCATAGCTGTGAGAAAACAAATGAAAAAGCACCAGGGGAATTAACATCACTGTTCATAGGAATATACAGCAACATAGCGAAATAACAAACTGAATACAAATTAAGAAAACGTGTCTAAAGATCCAAGGAATGCATCTCAAATAATACAGAAAACTTGATAACAAACCCACTTTTATTGTGTTTATGTAGGGCGACCTACCACTTTACTAGTGGAGTACTGATATCGGAAAAATGTACCTAAGTATAGTAACGAAGTATTTCTACTCCACTACTTCCCACCTCTGATTATAAGCCCATCTGTTTGATAAACCTCCTCCAGGTCTCGATGCCCCTCCTCACCTCTCCGTCCTGCCGGTCAGATCGCCTTTCAGGTTCCAGCCTCGGATCATGGTCACCTCCAGCTTTCCCATCGAGGCCATTTGAGGACAGCAGGACGACAGAAAGAGCAGGACACTCAGGTGGAAGAGGGGGGGGGAGGAAAAGGAGAGCATGGCTGGAGTCAAAGAGAACCTGAATTAAAACAAAGACAATGAGAGAATCAGAATAACTTTATTCGTCCCACAGAGGGGACATTTACATTTGTTACAGCAGAAAAGAACCAAAGACAACTTAATGTTACCTAAGAAGCATGCATACAAAAACATTTGTATTACACAATTTACAAAATACACATCCTGTAACAGTTTTGAAGATGTAGCAGCCAGGTATATATTGCACAGTTATTAACGGCATATATATATTGCACATCATTTGTATTTCACAACAAGGGGTGTTATAGCATAGTTTGTGTTGTTGTGTGTGGGGGGGTCTAGTAGGGGCTCCATAGTTTCTCTTGGAATAAAATCACACTGTACATTTTACATTTATATATTCAGTAAATATGTAATATTCCATCAGTCACATACTTATGTATATATAATACCTTGCTTTATATCTTGTTATTGTTCATTTGTAAATTCAACATGTATATTTTCTACTTTCTTGTTTATTTCTCGTCTTTTAATTTGTATTGTATAATGCCATGTCTTTTTATGCTGCTGCAGCACAAACATTTCTGAAATTTCTTGTCTTCAAACCCCTCTGTCCAATTGACAAATTTAACAATAATTTATTTTAGTCGCGGTGGGACATTGTGAGCCAATAGCTGCGTTCACACCGCAGGACTTTTCCCTGTACTTTTCCCTGTACTTTTCCCTGTACTTTTCCCATTTAGTTCCGTTAGCACCCCTTATGTCGCGTTCACACCAAAAAGAGTACTGAGTGCCGGGAACTACTTTCCCCCATTTTTAGCGCCTGCTGAGAGGTGGTACTATCCTGGGGAGAAAAAAGGACCACATTTCTGATTGGCTGGGCGAATTGCAAACCACACCCCGTGAAACTCTGAACACCTTTTTGAAGCGGCCATTGTATTTGTTGGCAGTAGCATTATTAGCATTAGCATTAGCCCCGCTCACAAACGCAGAGAGAATAATTTATGGCAACACAAAAAAAAACATGGGAGCGGTGGAGTGATGAGGAGGTGTCGGCGTTCTGACGATTTACTCGGAAGGCTTCAGTAGAAGCTGCTGGGAGTCCCAGCAGCTTCTACTGAAGCCAGTCCCCAACTCCGGGGACTTCCGGGCGGGGACTTGGGGTGGCAGTATACGCCGTGAAGTTGTTGGCGGCCTGCCAGTAAAGCAGAAGAAGACGAGGTGACGTCAGCGGCTCATTTGCGTAATCTTCCCTCAGGGTAAAGTACTCCGGTGTGAACGTGATTGGTATATGCCCTGGGGTTATAAATGCCGGAGCGCTAAGCGCCGGCGCTAAGTACGTCAAAGTACTTGGTGTGAACGCGGCTATTGCTTGTCCAACCTCCACTCACCTGCTGCAATCAGCTGTGCACCCTCCCCGACTACACACCTGATTCCCATCAAGCCATTTACAATGGCATATCAACAGAGGCTCCACAACCTGTCGGCGCCAGATCGTTGTAAAACCACAGTGGTAAAACTCCAAGGCTACTTAGCAGAGGTGGGAGTAAGTCCTACATGTGCAAGTCATGAGCAAGTCTCAAGTATTGACCTTTATCTGCACACTCTGTATACAGCAAGTGTCTCATATTAGAAGTTTGAATTGTCTTAGTATTGTTGTGGGTGTGAGCAAAAGTGTTTCCTGATATTTGGATCACATCCTTTGCTTTAAGGCTACCACACATTGGAGACAATGTGGGCTCTAAAACAAAACACCTAGAAGATGTGGGGAAAATATCACTTGTATTATTGACTATATATTACAAAATTTAAATAACAATTCTTCAGTCTAGTTCATTTTAATCATGTAATGCAGTATTATTGTATCACTGTGTTAATATCCTGAGCGACCACATCGCTGACTTTGATTTATTTGTTTAATAATTAAGATTCTGATGTCTTGCTTCGGGTATGATTTTAGGAACTTTAACTGAGTAACAAATATTACTCCATAAACCAATGCACCTGTTCTCTACACGATCAGCGTGAACAGCCCTTAGAAGGACAGAGCAAATTGACACACAAAAAAAAAGCAAATTACATTTCCAGTTTCCGTTTCCAGAAAAACTGCAACTGCAAAAAAAGCCCACTGATTTGTGTTTCTTTTCCTTATTGTGTACATCATTTCATTTCATGTTTCTGTGTTGTTGTTTTTTGTTTTGTTTCTTTCCGTTAACTGTCAAGTGGGAACTAAATATTTTTTGTAGTAAGTTTTTGTGTTTCTCTTATTATCCTACGATACTGTTATGTTTGGCTATGAATAAGAAATATGAAGGACAGACCATTTTTTTTAGATTGGGGAAGGTCATATAAGATTATTTTCTTCGCCCTGCTCCTTTTCGGTCAATGGTGTGTTTACAGAGACATGTTTCATAAACAATTATTATACATTAAGTTGTGCATACCATGAACGGAACAAAATAAATGAAATGAAATGAAATTGCCAAAACCTTTCACACACAACATAAATAAATATATATAAATGCATTAATTTGTGCTTTTTTTCTTAGAGGTGACCCTATAGCTTGAACTACTTCTGTTGCCAAAAGCAGCAGTAGATGCGCTGTATGAAGGCAAATTACAATTGTATATTTAATATATATATACAACGGATAAAGTGGGTTTTAGACCTTACATTTATTCAGTCAAGCATTTACAACCTGGGAACTTTAAAAGCTTAAAGCATCTGCTGCTTTTGTGAACAGAATCAAGGCTTCTGCTTCACTAATAAAGAAGAAAAGACACAAAATGTTCTACCTGTTCCACAAAGAAAGTTGATGCTGCGTCTCCTCTTCTAGTCTTCACAATCTGACCAGGAAAGAGAGGATGAAGCCTTTTATATTTTAAGGGAACAAAGGGAGTATCAAATCTGAGGAGATAAGGACAGTAAAAGCTGAGCATTGATTCACATTCAGGTTTAAGGTTCAAGTTTTATAGTATAATATATAGTATAAAGGAAATGGAAATCAAAATGAACGCAAAAGACCTCTTGCTAAATATGCTGACTAACTTCAATGAGAAAACTCTGTATACTTTTATAAGTCGAACACATTTTAGACTTGTTTTAATTGGCAATTCTAAATGAGGCTTTCTTTTAGTCAATTCTGTCTTTTTCCTTAATGTCATGGTTTGGTAACCTGACTTTAAAGAGCAGAAACTCTCTGAGTCAGATCGTAAAGTGGTCCAGCAGACTGATTGGTGAGCCACAGCTAAACCTGGAGACCCTGTACCTCAGGCAGTTACAGTATCCAGCTCCATATTAGACGATGACTCCCACCCTCTGGACTCAGAATTTAAGCTTTTTCCTTGGAGCCGGAGGTTAGTTGTCCCAAAGAGTAGAACGAAGCGGTATAAAAACAGTTTTATCCCAGCAGCTATTGCACAAATTAACACATTATAGGAGTGTCACACAGATGCCTTTTTGTTTATTTATTTAATTATGAATTTTGAATGTCCATGTTTGTGCTAGTATTTTCCTTCTTAAATGTTTTTGAAATATTTTGAGATTTGACGGAGCAGGGTGTACTTGTACTTTTTACTAGTCCTTTTATTAGAGATGTGTCTGTTGTTTGTGTTTTTTTTTTAGAGTGTGTCAGGATGGATCCCTTGTCTTTTTCTCTGCAAACAAAATCTAGCTACGGGTACAAATAAAGAACCTGAACCTGAACTACGACACTTAATTAAGAGACAGAAAAATGGTCTTTTACAGAACAATAGTTATGAATGTGAACCCGCTATTATCCTCCGTCTATATGCTGTATGACAAACAATAATGTCAACATGAGAGCACGGTAAATGAGCAGCAGTGAGTCTCACTCATGACCAATGAAAGACAAAACTATGAAAAAGCTGGTTGTGTAACTCTACATTTGTAAGAACTTGAGGAAACTCTCACTGCTCGACCACCAATTCTAACCTTTTCCATATCTCCTGATGTGTAAATTAAATTATTTTACAAAAGTCAGAACAGAAAGCTTAACAGGCAACAGTAACACAAGTGGGCGGGGCTTATGTAATAGACAAATATTATACTCACTTACTTAATTTAATAACATCATCGTGTGATTCTTATTTGCTGATGTTTATCTATATTTAGTCAAAGTCAACTTTATTTTCAATCTTCCAGTTTGTGCGTACAGACCAAGCGGCAAACTCAGGGGAAGAGCCGGGACGCCAATACGGAAGTGCCACAAACTGCAGTTCATATATTGGCCGATAGGCGATGACTGCAGAAAGGAGCAATTTCCATAGACCCCAATGTTAAAATGCCCATTTTCACAGCAGAAAAAAAACGTTTCTAGCCCTGGCTCCAATACATTTTATTATGTATATAGTTAGATTCCACCTTCGTGATTATGAATCTGTGAGTGAATTGTTTTCTAACGCGACCCTTTTATTTATATTAGGTCTTAAAGTTTTTGCATAAATTAGGGCGTGGTCACATTGAGTGACAGCTCTGTCAGGTGACTGCTGCTGTTAGCTTTTTGTCTCTCTGCTAGCTGCTCCGTCCGTGAAGCTACAGGGACTCTGCCTGCCCAGTTCATCCAGGGAACACAACTTGATCCCGGCCGTGTTTGTTTGTTCTTCATGCTTATATATCGGACTATTGTGACTCGCTCTGCGGTTAAAACAGACGGTGCATGAATGCCGTTTTGCGGTAAGTGAAATTCGAGTACTTTATTTATGTGTTTATGATACGTAATGAATGTTAAGGCTTGGGTTTGCGTGTAAGCGAGTGGTAGCTATGCTCAAGTATGTAGACAAGCTAACGTCGAAGTAGTGTATGTGAAATCAACCTCACAATAAGATGTGTGCATATTACAATTATTAATGTCATATTTTCAAGATGATTACTTAGATATTACAATATGGTTGGATGAGCTGGAGTTCATTATTGAGTTTACACATTAACGTCACAGTCATCTGAAGAACGAACCCAAACGTTGTTGTTTTTATTAATTGCATTACCAAATTGGTATCAAATAAACAGTAACACAACAGCATTGGTAACACAACTTCCAAAGTTACAGTAAAATAAAAGAACCCTGACTCGGACAATACACAATCCAACATGTTCAACAGAAGAGAATAAGTTATATTGTTTGTACACATGGTTCTTTACATATATATCTGTTTGTTTAAAGTTTCCAGGTGATGCAGACAGGATGGACCAGAGAGTGAGAGACAGAACTGGACTCCTCACAGCAGTGAACTTCAGCACAGGTACAAATACTCTTTTTTCATACTGTACAAAGAATCAAGAAAGATATTGGTTTAAATAAATGAAGTATTGACTTTAATACACTGATATACATTCCATTAAACAATACTAAATACTAGATCACCTACACATCAGTGAAGTTGAGGGTTTTTTCCATGCAAAGGGTTACATTTAGATGTTAACAAGCAATATGACTGTCAGCTTTCTAATTTAAGGTATTGAAGGCAAAGCTATTTAACGCATAGTGACAACTGCTATTTATCTCTCAATATTGTCTGTAAAAAACGTGGTAAAAGTTATGATTTCAGTGAGAGAACAGAGCAAGCTTCTACAGTTGCACTAAGTTTTGATAACAGTTCAATATTATTTTGATAATAAAATATATTTCAATGTTGATGAATTTCATACTGTTCATTCATAATCTGATTGTCTTTGTAGCTCACTGTTGAAATAAAATAAAACATTACAATTACAAAATAATTATATCTACAGCCCCTAAACACAAACACACCTCTTTCATAAATAACACACTTGTTCTGCAATAATATGTTTTATGTTTCCTGTAATTTTGTTAGGAAAGGACATGCCTGAAAGACACGACTCAACATGTTCTCCTTCTCTGAGGGTCAAGAAGAACATCCAAGAGGAAAATTAAAAGCTGATGTTATGAGATTTTAAGACCAGTACAGGACATTCACTAAGAAACTACTTTTATTGTGAAGTCAGCTGATCGAATGCACCTATTTCCACATCTACACTCCATCAGCTGATTAATTCTATTTGCCTCACTTTATGAGCTTCACAACATGTACCTTGTACCGCAGAGTTTGCAACGCAAATAAATGGGGCCAATCTTCAGTCGGATGTGAATGTGTAATCTAACATTTTCAGTAAGAATAATGGACAAAAGGAGTGCAAATACAAATTCAATTTATTGAAATCTGAACCAAAAGTTAATCAAACATGTTTTAAATAAAAAAGCACATATGGACAGAAGGTGTAAACCTATTAAATGTATAAGTAAACACATTTAGTCAAATAAAGTGACAGACAAGGCCTGATCAGGTGGTATCAGCTATGCATGGGCTCCTCCATCAGGTCTGATCCTCCTCACAGAGGAAAGCCCCTCAGTCCTCTCCAAACCAACAGACTGGACGTCCATCACACGGAGGTTTCTCCCTGAAGTCTCTGCAGCTCTCTGGACACCACGCTGTCTCAATCCGTCCACACTGAATATGAGAGGGGAAAATGAAAATAATAAATGCTTTAGACAATAAGAAATATAAAGTTGACTGTTGAGTTACTCAGTTTTTTTTAGATTGTCAATACTATTACTGTATAACTAATATCCCAGGTTAAGAGCCACCTTCAAATAAAGATTGGTCTTTAAATACATTTTGTCTTTTGTATTGTTTGTCTAAAGTCAAGGATCTAGAACTGGTACTTATAGTTTTAATGATACAGTCTGGTTATAATGCTGTTTGGAGGAGGCCTCACAGGTAAGAGCACTAACTAGCTACCATCACATGCACCTTAGCTTAACTTAAATGTATTAAACGTATAATTAAGTGATAGCAAAATATAAATAACTAATGTCATACAAACATATTAATATTTGCTTGATTCCAGTGTTGCATTTAGCACATTGCATACAAACGTTAAGGGATTTTAAGATTCTGAAGTATTATGCTAAAAACTCAATAACTTAGATTATTATTTATAGTTTTGCTGAATAGTTTCATGTCCGCTTACCTTAGAAACGTAAAATGTGACGGCAGTGTGCTGATGGGGAAGCATGTTAGCTTAGCTTCTTAGCTTGAGCTAGCTCTGTTACTTCCCAGCTGGAGGCAGAAGGTCCCGCCTCGGCTCCGCCTCTTTGCCCTTATTTGGAGCAGGCTGGAGCAGGCGGGAGTTAGACTCAGACGTCACTGTCGAGCCGTTAGTGGCCGACTCCGCCTACTAAGGGCTTCTCGGCAACTCTGCAGAATCCTATGGGTGACGTCACGGACCCTACGTCCATTTATATATACAGTCTATGGTACAGACAGAGAGATCGAAATATCGTTTCCCATAATCCTGAATATAAAAACAAATGTATATCAAAATATGTATATACCTATATATACACAATCAAAGACACATTTTTACTGAAGACCTAAATAAAAACACAACAATAAATATATACAAAAATAACAGTCACTTCAATATTTGAGAATGTACATTAGTGCAAGATTGTCCATAGAATGTGCATTAGTGCAAGATGTACTACTTCTCACACATCTTAGCTAAGCTTGGGAACATTCCTTATTAAGAAGATGTGTTGCAATGTTGTTAGTTACACTCTACGTGCATTGCGCACCAACAGTATGACCTTTAACTCAGGTGAACTGAAAACTTCCTGATATGGCCTCCCTAACTTCAACAATTCTCCGTTCATTATCACCAAGCTCAACCCCTCCCTTTCTCCTCTCTCTGTGTTTAAATAACCCAAACTTTATTATTCGTCTTTCACTCTGCAGACACTTTTTACACTGCTATGGACAATCTGCACTAATGTACATTCTCAAATATTGAAGTGACTGTTATTTTTGTATATA